CAATACATGTCCATCCATTACAACATTACAAATGAGCATCATTCTACAAAATAATTATTTAACTCTTTCATAATACCAATTATAATATTACAGATCTCTCTCTCTCTCTCTCTCTCTGTATATATATATATATATATATATATATATATATATATATATATATATATATATATATATATATATATATATTTTAAATTTATTTATATATATATGTGTGTGTGTGTGCGTGTGTGTGTATAACCCCCATATATATGAATGTATAAGGATGTATACATTTACCTTTAAGTGTATAGTGGCATAACGCAGAATTTTTGTTATGGACGGGTACAATAAATATAGATATATAAAGAAACCTTTAAAAACATTTGGACTCCGACATAATTTTAATGAATGTTACAAACATCCTATTACCAAATAACGAGTGTCGTTGCTATCTATAGGGACTCCTGCGGACAGTTACTTAATGAGAAAAACGAGGGGACGTCGAGAGCGTTAACTTATGCTAATGTGATGTCTCAATCGAAGAGCGAATCAAGGCAACAGGGTGCGGGTTAAACAGCACCCCCCTCTCACAATGTCCGGGGGGGGGAGTAGTTGGGGTGTCAGTGTTGCGTGGTGCAGACTCACCCCCGGAGATTAGTTTCGGGGGGAAGACAAGTGAGTCATCGGTAGTGGTCACGTGGTCAGAGATCGGGGCACTATGACCCAGTCGGAGGCTGGTGTGAAATGCGGACGTCCGCGAAAACAATTCTTACAGTAGCGTCGTTTAGTCGTTTACATGATTAAATTATGTTGGCAAAAGCGTTGCTTTAGGGAGAGGCAATGTTAACAAAAGTATCATTTAAACAGTGAGGTATTGTTAACAAAATAATTTTTAAACGCTGAGTTAATGTTAACAAAATACTGTTTTAAACTTTGAAGTAATGTTTACAAAAGCATCGTTTAAACGAGTTTTCAAATTACATATCATCATTGCCATCATCTTCCCTTTGGGTTCCTAGCGCATCGCACGGCCTTAGATGAAGCTTGACACTCCACAAAATCTTGTTAATGTTTTAAATAATTTTTTTTCTGACTCGTTTTCTTATTTTATTTCTGAGAATATGCATTTCTACTGGTTTTTTTTTTTGGTTTTTTCTACATATTGTGTGTATGTGGGGATGGGGGCGGCTGTACTTGTAATTTAGTTATAAAAAAATTAAAAAAACTATAAACCAAAACTTGGGAAAAATAAAACTCTAAGACCGGAATATTTTACATTTAGTTGGGAAAAGTAAAATCTTAGACCATTACTTAATAAAAATTTAGTTTGGCAAAAAAAAAAGCTAAGACCAAAACGTTTAAAATTAAGTTGGAAAAATAAAAACCAAAGACTAAAACGTTTAAAAAATTTAGTTAGAAAAAATAAAACCCTAAGACCAAAACGTTTTAAATTTAGTTGGGAACAGTAAAACCCTAGATCAAACCTTGACTTGAAGAGGTTCAGAGGATATCTAAGGAAGCCACAACAGCATAGTAGAAAATTCTGCAATATGGGTTCGTTGTGTCGGATCTGTACTTTGCTTTTAACAGAGGAAACATGAGTGTGAAATGGAGTATTTAAATTATAATTTTATCATAGAAAGAAATTTAAAAAAAACCCCACATAATATAAAGGAATGCTCGGCCTCACAATTATATTTAGTGTAACAGTGAATAAATCTTGTCCTACTAAAATATTTAAATGTTTCCAAATGGTCGATAAACATGCGAGTTTTTCAGCCCTAAAACTGGTCTTTGATTTGATAGCGGCCAAATTATTTTTTTCATTTTTTAACTGGATAAAAAATTTAGTTGCATAATTTTGATAAATGGAGTATCTGGACCTCAAAGTCTCTTCCTAACTTTAGCTCCGTCTCTCAGAGTAGGGTTAGCGCAAATGGCTGTAGGGCTTGTAGATCAATACATGTTGCAGGCCATGTTACAAACCTTACAATATTTTCGAGCAGTAAACAATGGAGGCATGGGCAAACAGACATAACTCTGGATTGCTTGGTCGGCATTCGTCACGTCAAATGGAACGATAACCTCCCCTGACGTACCGAAGATAATGCAGATAATGGTAGCCATGGTCTGCGGATCCATTTGAAAATTGCATTATTTCCCCTTGACTTAAAAAAAAATATCGATAATAACAGTGCGATAGAGATAGCTAGGTCTAGGGTGTGATAAAAAAAAGTTAAACCTCTTCTGGTGGTGTTCACAAATGGCGTTTTCGTGTTGGTAAAAAAAAATGACTGAGCAAATATCACAATGTGAAGATTTTTTTTATTGATTGCGAGCCACGCCCACCCCCGCCCCTCCCTCACCTACCCCACACAGTAGGGCAGAACAAATGTCACAATATCGTGAAGGCTTACTTGTTTATTGCGAGCCACGCCCCCCCCCCCCACACCACACTGTAAGGCAGAGCAAATGTCACAATATCGTGAAGGTTTTTTTTTTATTTATTGCGAGCTACGCCCCACTCAAACCACTACCACAAGATCGAGAAGGCTGTTGTAGATTTTAAAAGTATGCTTGTGTTTTGCCCTCAGACAGAGCCAGTGAGTCAGCTCAGCTCTAAATGGTGTCTGGAATTTGTCAGACTAAATATTTCTAAATTACGTGAAGTTACAAAAATATTTATCGATATATATCGATATTTTTGCAAAATCTTGTCTGAACTCTGTCAGCATAGAGGATGTTAATCATTTCCTATTACAATTTATTAAAACAGTTTTCTAAAATGCGAAATAGCGGCTAAAATTCCTTTTCTAACATTGCTTTTTTATAATGCAAGTGTGACGTCACACCATCTGACCCCCCCTCTCATTACACACCATCACAAAATTACGGAACCTCTCCCCACTACGAGTGTGACGTCATTTATAGACGACCCCTAACTACAGATATTTTAGAATGGCGTCCTGGTAAACTACACCGTACCTCACCCCTCCCCAACCGTCTGGTGCTATGTCCAGCTGACAAGATGAGCGATAGGAAATATTTAAGCACCAAGCGCATGCGTGTGTGTGAGAGAGAGCGTGTGTGTGCATGTGTGGAAGGGCGGAGATGTGGAAGATGGACTCAAGTGATATGCCCTGAAGCATCCGACACAGCATCACCCACAGACAAGAACGACAGCAGAACCCACTTAGTGATAATCAATCGATGAGGAAATTAGGAATTAAGTTGGAAGTATTTACGAGGGGACTCCCTAGTAGCCCGTGCCCCACACAGAGCAAGACATGAGGAACAGCCAAAACACATTTACGTTATACACATGTATAGCTTGTCATGTTATTTTTAATTACGGGGACTCCCTAGTAAGCCGTGTCCCACAGACCAAGACAGAGGGGTAGCGTAGCGGGGGGTACATATGTCCCCGGGCGCCAGACCTTAGGGGGCGCCAAAATGGGTTGAAAAAAAGTAAAAGTTCATTTTAGCTGCAGTTTTGCATTATAAATATAAAAAAATATATGTGGGGGGGGGGGCGCCAAATTGAAAGTTTGTCCTCGGGCGCCGGGAAGGGTCGCTACGCCTCTGGAGCAAGACACGAGGAACATCACGAACACATTTGAGTTATGACACACATGTAAAGTTTGTCAAATGACCTTTCATATCTCGCAAGAGTTGACATTACATCATTAATAAAAAAAACTACAGGTTAAAAAATTACAACGGTCTTGTTTAATGTGTGGCAACAAAAATCAAATTAAAAAAATATTCTGTATTTATAAAAAAAAATTTCCCAGAAGAAACATGGGCGTTTCACGCAGCAAATTTTTTGAAGGCTGAAATTTTTTTCTCCAGCTGATATTCCAGAGCAAGCAGATGAACCAGAAATCTCATCAGAACGCTTGAGGAGATTCAGGGACAAGATGGCCGAACAAGATGGCGGTTTCATGGAACACAAACCATCTTGTTTTTCTGCAGGGAAAGGGTAATTTCAATCTTCAATTTGTGTCGATGATGTAGATACAATTTCACGGGAACAGGAAGCCATTGTAAGCAAAACAAGCAGAGACAATGTCGTGCATGTTGAGATTTTTAAAAAAGTTTGCATCTACTTTTTTATTCATTTGGAAAGGCGAAACAATATTGCAAATGAAGTGAAAAATAAAAATGTAACTGATCATACAAGAAAAATAAAATTGTTTTCCATGTAGAAATGGAATTCAAAGACATGTTTCTGACAAAAAATTTAGGGTATTTTAAGTTTTTTGTTGTTGTGGAAATTATAAAATTCAAACAATTGTTTCTGTAAATAAAAATTTAAATGAGAGTTTATTTTGTTTTTAAACTCACCAAAAATTTTGTGAAAATGTTGTCACCAAAGGGTAAAACAGGATTTCTTTAAAAACGGGAAAAATGACAAGCTATACCACTTATTAAGATGTGGGCTAAAATTAAATTAAGAGTAACTTAATGAAATTTTAATCCCAAGTAGCTGAAAGTAAGAGACACAACTCTTCACATTAAAAGAGAAGTTACAACTTTTTAATAACATCAATTTGTGTAAAAGATGCCACATATTTTTACAGCAACTAAATTATGTCAACAGATAAATGGATGGAATATGATGCTCTTGTATGTTGGAGTTAAAATATATCTTTGTATCAACCAGATATATAAAACATTTATTTAATTAAAACGATAAAAAAATTCTAAAACTTATCACAGAGCATTGCCTAGTAACATTACAGGCCAATATGGCATATCTGCAATAGCAGTAGATGTAAAAATGTAAATAAAAAATGTGTATAAACAATAAAGTATAACATCAACTGTATCAATTATACATACAACATTAAACTCTACAATATAAATTTATATAAATAATTGATAGAGAAGTGTAAAGGTATAAACACAGGTAAGCTACAAATTTAAAAAAAAAAAACTATCTTTATGAGATTCTAGATCACAAAGGCAAGAATTTTTTTAAAGTTAAAAAAATTCAATTAATTAAAAATCAGCAGTTTAAAATCTTAACACTAGCAGACAGTAGGTCTACTAAAAGTTGAGCAAATGTCTTGTAGGCTGATTATAAAGGCTAAAAACAGCAACCTCTATCTATAACACTCTCATGCAATCTAAGTGTCACTTTTAGTTATGAAGTATTAGCAAACCACAAAAGTTTTGTAAAAATAGTTGTATCTAAAGTTAAATAACAATAAAAAATTTTACAGTGTGTAAATTTAGTTTTTGTCTAAATAAAAATCTAGACAAAACATGAAATGTGCCAGAATAAAAAATTGTTTTTTTAGAAACAATTACTAGGAAAAACACAAGTTAAAAGTAGGATACAATGTACATTAAAATTATATTTTGTAAATTTAAAAAAAAAATCCTGGAAAGAAAACAGAAAGCTTAGTGTCAGAGTACTTGTAAAAGAGTTAATTAGACTATGCTTGTGATATAATATTTGTTTACTTTAAATAAACTGCTAAACCGTTAAAATGTGCATTCTGTGTTTAGTTAAGTTTAATATGGACAATAAGAAATAAGATGGGAATACAGGCCAGGATGTTTACAAAAAATTACCAAATAAAAACTTGTACTAAATTTCATTAGTGAATGAATATTAAAGTAGCTAAAATTTATTTCTAAAAGTTACATAACTATACAAGCCCTGCTAGTTGCTGTATTGGGCCTGTTTTCTTCTTGTGGTTTGTGTGTAGAGTGTTCTCCCCTCTTCTCTTGTTTGTTGTCATCAGACACTCCAGTCTGCAAGCTGACAGGCTGAGATAACTCTGTTTTATTTTTGATGGAACTTTTAGCTGGGCTTGATTTTAGAGGAGCTTTGACTGAAAAAATAAAGTTAGGAACATCTCCATCAATCTAATTATCTTAAAAAAAAATTAGAATTTTGCGTGAGAAATGGGTGGCTTTTTTCCTATATAACAAGTGAAACAGAGTCTGCAAGTACAGATGTGTAGAGCTAGAACTACTCTAGGTACAGCAGAAGGTAGCAAGGTCCTAGTCAGTAATTAATAAAGGAAGACATAATTATTAAAATATGACATTTTTAAAAATCACAAATATTGGAGCAAACTAATAGATAAATTTGTATCTGAAAGCAAAATTTATTACAACTAAATTAAAAAGTGTCACATTTTGCCTACAGCAAATAATTCACTTTTAGTGTCACCCCATGCTACAAGAGGTTTGTCTTTTGTTACCTTGCAAATTCCCCTCACTGCCTGCTAAAGAAAGCCGCAGCTTCTGGGGTAGGGCAAGTGGGTCTAGTTCCTGTAGAGCCTGTAGCATGTGGTCCACCCCCAAGGTTTCACTCTGGTGCTGAAGTGTGTTCACAACAGACTCCCTCGACATGACTGTCACCCTGGCGTTCTTACGATGAGCCTCGCACAGCCAGATATGTTTGCCACTTGGCAGTAGACACCTGGGTATAGAAGTGTTAACATGTCATGCTAGAAAAATATGGCCAGATATGTTTGCCACTTGGCAGTAGACACCTGGGTATAAAAGTGTCAACATGTCATGCTAGAAAAATCTGGCACATGACCTCGCATAGCCAGATATGCTTGCCACTTGGCAGTAGACACCTGGGTATAGAAGTGTTAACATGTCATGCTAGAAAAATATGGCCAGATATGTTTGCCACTTGGCAGTAGACACCTGGGTATAAAAGTGTCAACATGTCATGCTAGAAAAATCTGGCACATGACCTCACACAGCCAGATATGCTTGCCAGTTGGCAGTAGACACCTGGATATAGAAGTGTTAACATGTCATGCTAGAAAAATCTGGCACATGACCTCACACAGCCAGATATGTTTGCCACTTGGCAGCAGACACCTGGGTATAGAAGTGTTAATATGGCATGCTAGAAAAGTCTGGCACATGCATAGTAGGATAAGCCTATTATTGCCCAGGACACATTAAGGCTCTTCTTCTTCATCATCTTTGTTCCTAATGGTAATATGAGACGTGATTTCCCAAAACACAATTAAGTATGATTTGTCTATCTGATTTACACCAAATACGCCGTCAACTATGGGCTGAGACTATTACCTCATTTTAGGCAAGTAAATATGTTAAACTACGTTTACATGTTTACTTAAAGGAAAACTAAAATGACATGGCAGACTTCAGAATTTAAAAAAAAATGTCTATAATATTGTATTTGGGAATTTTTTTTGTCTAAGGGAAATTTAAAAATAATGATTCCAAAATGTACATATATATATATATATATATATATATATATATATATATATATATATATATATATATATATATATATATGCATACTTTTTTTTAAAACATGACCTTCACCTTTCTAACTTTCCCTTGACATGAGCAGCATCAACCTCTAGAACCATCTGCCTGAGCTCTCCATAACTTTCCTGCAGATCTGCTGTCAATGCCACAGTGGGACTCTAACACAAAAATACACACTTAATTTGACATGCTCTCCTTTGTACATGAGAGTTTAGAAAAAAGATATAAAATTTTCTAAGCATTAAAAACACAGTACAATAGGTTAGCAGATCAATATTATTAACTAACCTCCTCAAGCAGTTTGAGATATTTTTGCCCGATTTCTGAAGTAAGGGAGTTAAGCACAATTTTCTTGCTGAATTTGGCAATGGCAGTTATTCTGGCTACATAAGGCAGGTATTTGTCAAAATTGTGACCAAATTTTGAATCCAACAAGATAGGGTTTCCACTGGTATGCCACCCCTAAAATTAATTTGTTTGAATGAGATGAATCGACTTTAAGCATACAAATATTGTTTACAAATTTTGCCAAACTAGTTTGCCAAACATTTTCTCTTTCATAAATCTAATTCTTATCTTGTTTTGTGACTATAATTACATACAAAGTAATTGACTAACAGCTTTGTGTTAACATTTATACAAATATTGTTTTCTTTAAGGCATGAAAGTTTAAAACAGAAAAATGATAAAGGCTTTATTTCATAAATCCAAATGTTTGTATACATCATATATGACAACTGCCCACACAACTTTTCTTTAAACTTTACCTCCTCATGTTCACACAAGAGATAAACACAGAATTTCTGATCATATATTTCTGAAGCGGCTGACAATTTTGAAAATTTTCTTTCAATTTGAGGACGCTTTGTTTCATTGGTTTCCGTTTCATGTTTCTCCGGGTTCTCTTCCTGCCCTGTTTGTTAAAATAAAATTGTGAATTTTACAAAAAAAAAAAAGAAAAAAAGGAAGATAGACACTAGTTTAAAATTTTATTTTAATAAATAAAAATGAATTCAAAAACAAAATAATATAACTGTGGAATATTAGAAACTTAATTTTTGTGAAAAAGATTCATAAAAATGTTTGTGGAGTTATTTTTTAATTAAAGTGCGAATTCAATTTACCTTTCTCTTCAGGACAAAGATCGACCATCATTAAATTAGGGTAGGGGATTATGTCTATCCTGTCAGCATACTGGCTAACTTGGCGTAAAAACTTGCGCTGGGCCAGTTCACAGAGCTCCTAATCAGAAAATACATAGTTTAAATTTTAGGCAGGATTATAAGAAATCATGACACCAAAATAGTGATTTTATATTATGTAGAAATAAACCAGTCAGTTACCTGAAAGGATAGCCTTTTTTGTTCTTGAATTTGTTTATTTTCATCATCTTTTTTCCTCTTCTTTCTCTCACTCTTCCTCTCTCTCCGAGCCTGCTCATCGTTAGGGATGTTGGAGCGGACAAGTTCCAGAAGTTTCCCCATGGCTGTCTCACTTTTTTCTTGGAAACTGACCAGTGGGTATGTCAGAGACAAGATTCCCAGCTGGTAAGATAAAGCAGACATTTTGTTACATTGAGAAATAATTTATACGATCAGATATATGTAAACATATAGGCTATGCATAAATACAAATATATATTCTAGCATTTGAATTCTCTCTCTTCCTCTATGTGTGTATATATATATATATATATATATATATATATATATATATATATATATATATATATATATATATATATATATATATATATATATATATGTCTTCAACTCGATTAAATAAGGGGAAACAACCAGAGAAACCCTGAACATTGTACAAGCATACAGGATTGTGAGGGGTAAAGGGAAACAAAGATTAGAATAAAATATGCATATATATATATATATATATATATATATATATATATATATATATATATATATATATATATATATATATATATATATATATATATATATATATATATATATATATACACATACATATACTTGTATAATATACTTATTTTATTATTACCTGAATAATGTTCACATTTAAAATGGTATAACAACCAACCTCTTTTGCCCTCCATTTGTTTCCAGTCCCAACAATAGCCAGGACAATGGGCAGCTTCAGTGTGTTGGCAGCATAGCGGAACTCTCTTTCACAGTTCTCTGACACTGTGTACTCATCTGATATACAGACCACGACCACCTGACAGTTGATCAGGCCCTCACCAATGTCCTCGAACAAACCATGCTGTAATTCATATTTTAACTACTCATTAATATTTTAATTATGAATTGATATTTTAACTAGAATTGCTCTGTAATTATAATTTTTTTGTAAATATATCTGATCAAATTGTTGAATTAGGACCACAAGCTTATCAAACACGAAAAATTTTTTATATATTTTCTTACGGCTCCAACTCTTTCTACATCAATCCAACACTTGATGCCATTTTGTTCAAGAAAGCTTTTGATCTCCCTTGGGTCTCCATAACCTATGGCTCCCTCTTCTTTCCTGTAATGAGAGATTTAAAATAATTTTTATAACTCGTTCAGTTCGTTATAAGAGACAATAGAAAAAAGGGTTAAACATGATGAGATATGGATAAGATCTAAACAAGATTTCATGGTCAACAGTTATTGATATAAATAGATATCACATGACTATTTTCAACAATCATGTCAACACAGACTGAAGTTGGCAGAAACACTCACTAAATTATATTAAATTAAATCCTTTTAATTTATGTGATGGATGAAGCATATTAAAATCAGAAATTCTACAAAAGCAAAAATTAACAATGTTGTCTGACAACTCCAAAATTAAACAACTGCTGCCTTGTAGTTTGTTCTTGGTTGAACAAAGGCTTTGGAAGCAAATCCAAAAAGAAAAGCAGGCTGAAATCGGAGTCAATGGCCTCAAAGGCGCATAACCAGTTGACACGTAATCCTTAATTGTGATGGAAGCATGGTCGAGTCGAAAAAAAAAAGTCTCAAGTTCAAACACTCCGGCAGATAAGGCTCGATCCCTCCCAACACTAAAAATTAAGAACGAAGAAGAAGAAGTCTGTCTTAACTATTTCAGTTGCTAAACTGAGAATTCAAACATCTGGTTAGCATAATATTACAAAATTTTGTTTTCTTACCAATATTAACAGAGTTTTAAAAACAATCCAATTCTCATAGTATCCTATTTTCTATACAGCTGAGAAATAAAAAATTATCCTGACCTTGAACCTTTAGCAACAGCTTGAGCAGAATTGAGCCAGGAGTAAGAAATAAAGCATGGTGGGTAATGTTTTGACCTAGATCTCTCCTTCTTGATGGCATGTTTTTCTTTTAACATTGCTGTCAGTTCTTCCATTTTGTGATTGTATCTGCTAGCCTTCATCATATTGACGTATACCTAATGACATTGGACAATACAGTTAGCATAAATGGTGGAGTAGCCATTTTTTTCCCTCTCTTATTAAAATTCACCTTTTTTTTATATTTGTTCTTAACAATTACTCATAAACAAAGGTAGATTTAGTAAAAAACGACATTTTAAATAACAAAAATCATGTATTTCTTTTTCATAAAAGTTACCTCCCATTTAATTTTTTTTTAAATTATCAGGGGAAAGAATTTATTAGATCTAGATCTACTATATTTTTAAAAGTAGTTAAAAATATAGAGAAATTCAGTGGTAACAAGATAGAAAAATCAATTTATTTTTTATTATTTCACTTAAATGCTTATTTAAAAGTCGATCTAAAACAAAGCCAACAAATGTAAAACTTAAAAAAAAAATGCTAATTAACATCTAAGAAGTAAAAGCTTATTAATTATTAAAATAACCTCTACAAAACAATGCAACCATTTTTTTACCTCATCAACAACAAGAATTCCCATATTACTTTTAGTCCATTCTGTGTTCTCCCCGATGGCAACAAGTATAATTGGCTTTCTCAAAGTCAACCTGGCATACTTGAATAAATTACAGCACAGCTCGTCCTGGACAAAGTTGTTGGACATAAACACCAAAAATATCTTCACGTCAACCAACGCCTTTGCCATCTCATCAATAGATTCACTTTCCTTGGGTTTCCAGCTATATGTGGCAAGATTGAAAAAAAAAATATGACCATAAAAATATTATTTTAACATTTAGGGATATCAGATATGACAAAAAATTTGAGAATAATTGTGTTCAGCTAGTAATACATACATTAAAAAGAACAAAAATTAGTGCAGTTAAATTATTGCAATTATTACACTTAAGTTTAATATTAAAATTTGGATGCACAAATAGGCTAAAACAAAAAATAGCACATAACAACAAACATGCTTTGTAGCCTACTACCATTTATAGCCAGTTTTTTCCACATCTTCAACAACCCTGCTTGGTAGGACTGACTCTTTATCTCTGGCCACATTGTCTTTTTCACAGAAACACACAAAAATATCTGCAGATGACATGATGGATAATATATGACTCAATGGTTAAACAAAAATAATTGTAATCATAAACATTTTAAAATAACCTCAAGTGAATGAATAGTTTCTTCTCTTTTATATATTTAAATTTATATAAAATATATTCTTGAATTAGATAATTGTAAAATAGTGTTAGAATCTAACAGAAACAACAAACAGTTATATAATTAAAGCTATAACCAAAAGCTAAAGTAATGCATTTAACATTGCTAATGTCAAAAATTAACACATTGGACAGCCATCTTTATTTTAAAGCTAAACAGGCTTGTGCTGATCCATAACCCAAGTTCAAAGTTCTATTTGGCTTCATTCCTACAGCTTCTTAAACTCTTACTTACACACTGTCCTTATATAAGTAGATCTATATCTGTATCTGTAGGCCTATCTGTAAATTTCAGTGATTTCATTAAAAACAATTTCCAGACCTAAAAGACTCCTTAATCAACTCTCTCTGTGGTGCACCATCAACCCTACACAACTCAAACAAATCTACGCCTTCACAGTTACTTCCCATTTAAAATTTATAAAATTACCAAGGGAAAAAACCTATGACTATGTCTCCAAAAGTGGTTAAAAATATAGAGAAAATCAGTGGTAATAAAATAGAAAAAGCTATTCATTGTTAATAATTTCATTAAAATGCTAGTTTAAACACTTAAATTATATTGATATTTTAAAGATAATGCAGTTTTCTTTCTAAGCTATTCTAAATTAAAAACTATTTGCTTTTTTAAAAACACAATATATTAAGACGTAAAAACTCACTTTACTCAATGCTGTTCTTTTCAGTTACATGTGTTCTACTTTTTATTTACATATCTAATATATAAAGCTCAATTCTGTATGTAACTTGTAATATGTAAAGTGTAAAATGTTTGTCGTGGGATGGATTTAAGTGTTAGGTTATTAAAGTCCTTATGGTCTAAATTTATGAATTGAAAAATAAATGAAGACCTTAGTGCTAAAAGTACTTAAGTCACAAAAACATAATTTTGAGAAAAATGAGTTCAAAGATTAAAATTTACTATGAAACATTACGTTTTTATACTATTTGTTTGTTTGGAAGAGCAAATTAAATACATTCTTCAGTATCACTTTTTGTTTATAAGATAAAGTTAAATTAGAGGAATAACGATCAATGCTTGGTTTGATTTTCACAAAAATGTGACTTAAGTACTTTTAGCACTGGGCTCTTCAAATATTGAAAGTGTTGGGAAATAATTTTCATTTTTCAAACTGAAAGTGATAATTGTCGGCATGTTCATTAAACACAAGTTTTAAAAAAATATCATCTTTCACAAAAATTCTAATTATGTCTTTATTTAGTCCTTTAGCACTTACTTCCCTTTGATAAATTAGGAAAACACTATTACTTCCCTTTATAAAAAACATTGCATTAGTGGAAAAGAATTTTCTTTTTATTACTTTGTTTTGGTGTTGGGAAAAAAAATAATTACATAATTAGCGGGGATTGATCAAGTGCAAATGTTGTAGGTATTTTACGGATAAGCTTGGATTATTATAATTGTTCATAAAATTGAAACGGGCGCGTTCGTTTAAGTGAGTGCAAAAGACTATGAATAAGTTGGGGTACTATAGTCGTTTATTAAGCTGAAACAGGCGATTCCGCCCCGGGCTAGACTGTGAGCACTTTGTGTTTATGTTTGCGTTAGTGTTTTCTTTGTGTTTAGGTTGGGTTTGCGTTAGTGGTTGCGTTTTGATTTGTTTCGTTTTTGTTCTTCTTTTTTCGTTTTTGTTTGTGTTTTTTTCTTTGGGTTTGTATTTGTGTTTGGTTTTGCATTTGGATTTGGTTTGTTTTTGTTTGCTTTTTCGTTTGTTTTTTCTTTGAGTTCGTATTGTTATTTGTGGTTGTGGTTGGGTTTGTTGATAGGTTTTTGTTTTCGTAATTTTTCTGTATTTGTGTTAGCGTTATGTTTGCGTTTCGTTGTTTTGGTTTTGGTTGGTTGTGGTTTGGATGGGAAATGCTGGATTTATGATGATTACTAAACACACAGGTAATGGTCTTTAACAGAAAGGTATTAAACAGAAGCCAGAGCAGGGCCTGGCCGGGATGGCTAGTTGTTAATATAATAGTTTTGCTGTCTGTATCTATCTGTCAAGAACACTATAGAGAAAACACAAGCAGAGTAAAAAACAAAACGTGATGTCATATGGAGCATATAGTAGAAAATAGTATCAAGCCGGAGAGTGCACACAGCAATATGACGTCATTGATTCTCGAGTAAACATTGAATTAAAAAACCAATTTTGTCTAATCTTAAAAGTGCTTTGCTTGCTGAGTTTCTTTCATGCAGTTATTTGGTTAGGGGCGAAGCCCCAGCCCCTGCCCCCCCCAAAAGAACATTTAAGCCCCCCCTCTTAAGAAATTATGTCAGCGATACTCTATAATAAAAACACGGACATTATGGCCCAATTAATGTGTCTAATCTTTAAAGTGTTTTGCGTGAAGAGTTTCTTTCATGCATCTCATCGGGTAGGGGCAAAGCCCCACCCCCGGTAGATCGTTTATGCCGACCCCCCTCTCCCCCTCAAAGAAATGACGTCATCGATACTCCATAATAAAAATACTAACATTATGGCTTAAATTATGTGTCTAATGTTATAAGTGTTTTGCGTGAAGAGTTTCTCTTCTGGTAGGGGCAAAGCCTTGCACATAAGCTCAAACTTGACAATATTCGCATTTAAAGATCGTTTCTAAGAACATCTACCGTTTCCTATTACAAAATAGAATTTATATAGAAAATATACTTTTACCAGTGTCCGTCCCCCTACCCCGAAAATTTCAAGTACACCACTTTGGGGAGAAAAAAGTCTGAAAGAAACACTGATCACATATCCCCTAAAAAACAACTTCTTGATATTATTTTAATATTGCTACAAAAGCTGTGGATATTAGACCGCTATATTATGCAAAAGTTAAACTAAACTCACATAGGCACACAGCTTCTCACTGCACACCCCCTACTAATCTGTACAGCTAAAACAGAAAAGCTTCACTGTTTGCCTAATTTCAATAAACAAAATATAATAAGCTATCTTGAGTCAGGCAGTGGCGTAGCGAGGTCGGGTGTCACCCAGTGCGGCACTTAATGGTGTCACCCCCCAGAGGTGTAGCAACCCTTCCCCCTGGGGACAAACTTTTGAATTTTTGATTTGCACCCCCCCAAACTTTCATTTTGCACCCCCCTCAAGTTTTTCTCTATATATTTTGCTATTTTTTGCCTTGGTGTCACCCCCTCTAAATGGTGTCACCCGGTGCGGTCCGCCCCCCCACCCACCCGCACCCCCCCTCTGGAGTCAGGTACCAATCAGAGCTGGGTGGAACTATGCACAGATGTCCAACAGACTCAGGCCCAGGCCCCAAACCCAATCCAGACTTTTGGGCCAGCAGCCCCAAGCTCTAACCTCCGACCACTCCCTCCCCAAAGTTTTCAATTACCAGCAATTAAATCTTTCTGCAGCTCTTTCATTCCTCTCACAGCCTGCACAAGGTGAAGGTCGAAATCTTGGTTGTTGTCTGGTGGCATTATGGCTATGGTAGAATGGAAATAATTCAATTTTACCTAAACATTGATTTCACCAACTACTAAAAAAACTAAACAATAGTGAACTGATTATGCAACTTTAAACTGAATTTTGTTAATGAGCATTTATATGAATTTGTTATATATTTTAGAGACAATCTACTAACCATGCAAGTCAGTCATTGAAATAGTATGGAAATACTTTAAGCACTGTAAGAATGGTGACTTAAGTTCTGTAGCTCTTCTGATGATGGAGGCAGGAAACATGTGAGGATCTTTTGCTGCCTGAAGTTTAAAAATTGTATAATCTTACAAAGCCATACAGTTTTTGCCAATTTAAAAAAAAAAGAGGAAAAAGCCTAGTTTCATAAACAATTTGTGTGATATAAGATTAAGGGATGGAGTGGCTATGTAGTAGAGCATTTGGCTACCAACCCAAAAGTCTCGAGTTCGGATCCTGGCTTCAGTCTGTAGGACATCCCTGAGAAAGTAAAAGCAGATGGGCATACTGCTAACCACATTATCCCTACACATGCCGAGGTCACAGAATCAGGTGAGCTCGACTTCATCTGCCCGAAGATAGTCTAAAGCATACTTAAATTCAAACGAGCTGACCCGTGCCAAAAGCATACGCCGCTATTTAGTTGTTTTATTTTCTACTTTTCAGTAATTCATAATTTGTGAATTTGACACTACCCTCTCTTCCCCCATCCTCCCCCCTTCTTGCTAGGCGATAAGCCTAGAGAGCGGGGTAGGAACGGCTAAGCTGCGTGGTGTCTCCTACGGTCCCCATGAAGAGAATTATATATATAGATCTTGATGAAAAAATTCAACAGCTGCATTAATTGTACGAATACTTACCACGCTCATGCAGTCAGGACAAGGCAAGAAGAAGTCGTACATAATCCCTTGAAATGATTCAATGATCAGACTCTCAAACATTTCATGGACCAGCAGCACCACGTTGTCTGGGTGTGGCCCATGTGCCCTTACAGTCAGTTCACACTCCCTGGTGAGTACATGAACATGTTACCTGAACTGAGGTCATATTTTACAAATCAGGTTGTGTTAGTAAAAGTAAAGTTCCCATCCAGATCTTATGATATGGCAGAGGAAGCAGAGTTCATATGCTTCATGACTGTGACATATGAATGGATATGGTGAAGTCAGCACTATGCCCAGGTGCCTTTATTTTTCAAAATGTGAGTCAGGTACCCATTAGAGCTGGATGGACTCAGGAACATCCTGCAGTCCCGAGTTTGTTCGGGTTCCAAACTTGAGACCTTTGAGCTAGCAGCCATTTGACCATGGCATCACAAGGGCAGTCACAAGTTCAAAGGTTATTGACTCTATTGGGTAGAGTTTACCAAGTTATGTGGCCTGACCATTTCTCTAAACTACAATTTAAATAACTTTTAGAGTATGTTGATCCCCAATACTTATAAATTAAAAAAATATTATACTCATTGCTGAAGCAACCAGTCTAAATCAGTATCAGTAATTGTGTCAGTGATTATATGGCAGACTGTGTCATAGATTTAGTCAGTAATTTTGTTAGTAATTTTGGTATTCAGTGATTGTGTAACAAAATTGTATGACATATTCTGTCAGTAATTTAGTCAATAATTGTGAACATAATTGTGTTAGGAATTGTGTTAGTCATTGTGTTAGTGATTGTGTCAAAGATTGTATCACATATTCTGTCAGTAATTTAGTCAGTGATTGTGTAAGGAATTGTGTTAGGAATTGTGTTAGTCAGTGATTGTGTCAAAGATTGTATTACATATTCTGTCAGTAATTTAGTGTAAGTAATTTTGTGTAAGTAATTGTGTTAGTCAGCAATTGTGTCAGGTGGTTGTAACACATATTCTGTCAGTGATTGGGTCAGGAATTTAGTCTATGATTGTGTCAGGGATTATAGAAGGCTGTTGACTTGAGGTAGAGATCACAACTATTGCCACATTATAAATCTCTGGCAACAACAAGTGAGCACTTACTGTGTTTGCTGTATGAGACAGATGTGGCCATTTTTCTTCAAGTAAGAGCCACGTTTCCATATCAGGGCGCTGTCACTAAACTGGTGCAGCCTCACCTGGACAACAGGATCAAAGACAGTTTAGTGGAGTCCAGTATTAGGGTAAACATTCTAAAAAAACATAATCAAACTACCTCCTAACGAGATCAAAGAAAGCTTAGTGGAGTCCAGTATTGTGGTAAACATTCTAAAAAACATAATCAAACTACATTCAAACATTGGTAGCTGATTCCAGAATAACTTAGGTAAGCATGCAAAAAACTAAAACATTATCAAACTACATCCTAACAAGATCAAAGAAAGTTTAGTGGAGTCCAGTATTGTTGTAAACATTCTAAAAAACATTATCAAACTACATTAAAATATTTGTATCTGATTCCAGTATAACTTTGGTAAACATAAAAAAAACAACTGAAACCTTATCAATCTACATTGATCTATTTATAGCCTACACTATATTTAACATTAATAAACCGGGAGTGATCTCCCCTAAACTTTCTCGAATATTCTTATATAAAATAACAGGGGATGGAAACTCGGGCTATAGACATGATTTTTAATCCATTTTAAATACTTAAAGTTTTAAAAATAGAATAAAATCTCGTAGACAAATTAATTGCACACCAAGTGAACGCAAATAAAAAAAGCGCATAATAGTGCGCAATATTATTAGTACTTTTAAAATTTACATTAGTTTTTTGAGAAATCGGAAGTAGCGTAAATTACTACTTCCAGTCAACGGAAATTACTCAAAATTTTACAGAAGGTAGAGAATTAGATCTTTTACTTACATGTGAAATTTCATTTATCTATCTGAAATAGTACTCAAGTTATAGGCTTTTAAAAAATTCAAAGTAGGAAAAGTACCACTTCCGGTTATCGGAAATCGCTCAAAAGTTGATACGGATCTACGATTTTGATAAAATACTTATATATGAAATTTCATCAACCTAGCTGTAACGGTACTCAAGTTATCGTGTTTACACACGGACAGACACACACACAGACACACACACACACAGACATACGGACAAGATTGCAAAATTATGTTTTTCTGTATCAGTGAGGTGTAAAACGTCGAGATTTGTAAAAATCTCGATTTTTTTTTTTTGCACGATTACAATACTTTCTCTATACTACGTATATACGAGAAAGTAAAAATAAAAAGAAATACCTGTCCTCTGTTAAACAATCCAGCAGGGAGGTAATCAAATTTATAAACTATTTTTGTCTCCTTCTCAAAGCTATTTTTATGCAGTTCTGGCCAATCAAACTAAAGGACATATAAAAAATAAACAAAAGATTACAGTTTAATTACATTTTAAATTGTTATATACAATTCATTAGCTTGAATTTGAAAACTATTTAAATTTTAGCTGTAGGCTTCCTGTGTTCGCTTTAAAAATGTAATTTGTTATCATGTTGAAAGCTTTCATATTCAAAATTAATTATTGTTAGTCCTCTCGCTTTCGTTGATTGCTTTGATAATAAATAGTTACTTCAAAAAAAAAAAAAAATTAATAAATAAATAAATAATTCAAATAAATTGTCAGCAAAACTAGCAGAGAGGAACAAACATTTCACCTGTGGTTGAACCTCTGGCAGTAAGCATGGCACTAGATTGACAGGTTCATCCTTCAATGGGAAAGTTAAGTCAAACTCTTCTGTCAGTTTCAGCAGCCACGTATAGAGTGATGGGTCATACTTTTCCCATACTTTTGACAGTTCAGAGTGCAGTAGCCTGCCATCCTTCATGAGGAAAGAACATATTTTTGTCATCTTGGTCATACAAAGATAACAAATGCTTGCTTGACATCAGGCTGTAATAGTACTAATTTTATATGACAGATATCTGATGTACACAATACTTCATCTACCAGCCTTACCATGCTGACTCTCCTGTAAACAATGCAAATTATACCATAAATACTACAAAAATCTTTGGCAGCTTTTGACATATCTTACATAAGCCATGAAATGACAAAGTCTTTGTCCAATCCAACACCAGCAATGACATAACTTTATATGAATATATTTGATAAGTAAAGACATACCTTTATATGAGAATCTTTGACAGACACAACACACATAGAAACATACCTTTATATGAGAATGACAGACACACCACACATACCTTTATATGAGAATGACAGACACACCACACATACCTTTATATGAGAATGACAGACACAACACACATACCTTGATATGAGAATGACAGACACAACACACATACCTTTATATGAGAATGACAGACACAACACACATACCTTTATATGAGAATGACAGACACAACACACATACCTTGATATGAGAATGACAGACACAACACACATACCTTTATATGATGTCTTTGACAGACACAACACACATACCTTTATATGAGAATGACAGACACAACACACATACCTTGATATGAGAATCTTTGACAGACACAACACACATACTTTTATATGAGAATGACAGACACAACACACATACCTTTATATGAGAATGACAGACACAACACACATACCTTTATATGAGAATGACAGACACACCACATACCTTTATATGAGAATCTTTGACAGACACAACACACATACCTTGATATGAGAATGACAGACACAACACACATACCTTTATATGAGAATGACAGACACAACACACATACCTTTATATGAGAATGACAGACACAACACACATACCTTTATATGAGAATGACAGACACAACACACATACCTTTATATGAGAATGACAGACACAACACACATACCTTGATATGAGAATCTTTGACAGACAACACACATACCTTTATATGAGAATCTTTGACAGACACACCACACATACCTTTATATGAGAATGACAGACACAACACACATACCTTGATATGAGAATGACAGACACAACACATACCTTTATATGAGAATGACAGACACACCACACATACCTTTATATGAGAATGACAGACACAACACACATACCTTTATATGAGAATGACAGGCACAACACATACCTTTATATGAGAATGACAGACACAACACACATACCTTTATATGAGAATGACAGACACAACACACATACCTTTATATGAGAATGACAGACACAACACACATACCTTTATATGAGAATCTTTGACAGACACAACACACATACCTTGATATGAGAATGACAGACAAACCACACATACCTTGATATGAGAATGACAGACACAACACACATACCTTTATATGAGAATGACAGTCACACCACACATACCTTTATATGAGAATGACAGACACACCACATACCTTGATATGAGAATGACAGACACAACACACATACCTTTATATGAGAATGACAGACACAACACACATACTTTTATATGAGAATGACAGACACAACACACATACCTTTATATGAGAATGACAGACACAACACACATACCTTGATATGAGAATGACAGGCACAACACACATACCTTTATATGAGAATGACAAACTCAACACACATACCTTTATATGAGAATGACAGACACACCACACATACCTTGATATGAGAATGACAGACACAACACACATACCTTTATATGAGAATCTTTGACAGACACAACACACATACCTTGATATGAGAATGACAGACACAACACACATACCTTGATATGAGAATCTTTGACAGACACAACACACATACTTTTATATGAGAATGACAGACACAACACACATACCTTTATATGAGAATGACAGACACAACACACATACCTTTATATGAGAATGACAGACACACCACATACCTTTATATGAGAATCTTTGACAGACACAACACACATACCTTGATATGAGAATGACAGACACAACACACATACCTTTATATGAGAATGACAGACACAACACACAAACCTTTATATGAGAATGACAGACACAACACACATACCTTTATATGAGAATGACAGACACAACACACATACCTTTATATGAGAATGACAGACACAACACACATACCTTGATATGAGAATCTTTGACAGACAACACACATACCTTTATATGAGAATCTTTGACAGACACACCACACATACCTTTATATGAGAATGACAGACACAACACACATACCTTGATATGAGAATGACAGACACAACACATACCTTTATATGAGAATGACAGACACACCACACATACCTTTATATGAGAATGACAGACACAACACACATACCTTTATATGAGAATGACAGGCACAACACATACCTTTATATGAGAATGACAGACACAACACACATACCTTTATATGAGAATGACAGACACAACACACATACCTTTATATGAGAATGACAGACACAACACACATACCTTTATATGAGAATCTTTGACAGACACAACACACATACCTTGATATGAGAATGACAGACAAACCACACATACCTTGATATGAGAATGACAGACACAACACACATACCTTTATATGAGAATGACAGTCACACCACACATACCTTTATATGAGAATGACAGACACACCACATACCTTGATATGAGAATGACAGACACAACACACATACCTTTATATGAGAATGACAGACACAACACACATACCTTTATATGAGAATGACAGACACAACACACATACCTTTATATGAGAATGACAGACACAACACACATACCTTGATATGAGAATGACAGGCACAACACACATACCTTTATATGAGAATGACAAACTCAACACACATACCTTTATATGAGAATGACAGACACACCACACATACCTTGATATGAGAATGACAGACACAACACACATACCTTGATATGAGAATCTTTGACAGACACAACACACATACCTTGATATGAGAATGACAGACACACCACACATACCTTGATATGAGAATGACAGACACAACACACATACCTTTATATGAGAATGACAGACACACCACACATACCTTTATATGAGAATGACAGACACACCACATACCTTGATATGAGAATGACAGACACAACACACATACCTTTATATGAGAATGACAGACACAACACACATACCTTTATATGAGAATGACAGACACAACACACATACCTTTATATGAGAATGACAGACACAACACACATACCTTTATATGAGAATGACAGACACACCACACATACCTTGATATGAGAATGACAGACACAACACACATACCTTGATATGAGAATGACAGACACAACACACATAATTTGATATGAGAATGACAGACACAAAACACATACCTTGATATGAGAATGACAGACACAACACACATACCTTGATATGAGAATCTTTGACAGACACAACACACATACTTTTATATGAGAATGACAGACACAACACACATACCTTTATATGAGAATGACAGACACAACACACATACCTTTATATGAGAATCTTTGACAGACACAACACACATACTTTTATATGAGAATGACAGACACAACACACATACCTTTATATGAGAATGACAGACACAACACACATACCTTTATATGAGAATGACAGACACACCACATACCTTTATATGAGAATCTTTGACAGACACAACACACATACCTTGATATGAGAATGACAGACACAACACACATACCTTGATATGAGAATGACAGACACAACACACATAATTTGATATGAGAATGACAGACACAACACACATACCTTGATATGAGAATGACAGACACAACACACATACCTTGATATGAGAATGACAGACACAACACACATACCTTTATATGAGAATGACAAACACAACACACATACCTTGATATGAGAATCTTTGACAGACACCACACATGCCATGACATCAACTATCCACTGTGGGTTTATGACAACATGTGACTTGAGATTGGCGTTGCTGAAGTGTTGCAGAGAACCAAGTTCATGTAAAAACTGTACTGCCTGGGCTACCTAATCCATCACACACAATAAAAAGTGGATTACATTTAATTTTTTAATAAACACAAGAACAGTTACATACACAGAAATCCACATGAGTGGGTAAAAAAATTAGCAAACATTGTGAAGGAATATTTTAAATAAAAAGTTTTATTACTATAATATATATAAAATATTTTTAGATTTCACTAAATCAACCCTAATTTTTAAAACTATGCTGTTAAATCATAAAAATTTCCATTGATGTTTACACTAGTTAGCGAAAAAAATCTTTTAAAAATTAGATTGACTACAGCACAAACAGCATACCTCAGTACTATCAAATATGCCAGATCTGTTCGCTTTGGTCTCTAGCTCCTTATATTCAATCACATTTCTATCATGTATACTGAAATATAAAACAAAACCAATAGTTTGATAACAGCCATTCAAATATTGTTTTTTACTAAAAATGTGGTGAGTTTATCGGAAAACAGAAAAATAGGTTAACTCCCTTAAAAATAGAATTTTTTTTTAAATGAAATCAACATTTATTCTTGCTACATTATATTACAGCAGGTTATGTTAATATTACGTTTAAGGTTAGACTCCTAGAACAATATGCTGTAAAATCTTTTACTAATAAAAGTGCAGACTAAAACTTGCCTCTTAATTGATTCTTCAAAGCTGAGCCAGACTCCTGGTATTTTTTCTCCAATATATTGTTGTTTCAATGTTTCTTGTATCAGCTGTTTCTTTAACTCTTCTATGCCCTAGAAATATTTGGTTGAGTAAAAATTTTAAAAATAACAACATATTTTTAATTAAAATATTTGAGACTGAAAATAAGTAGTAGTTTTTTTATTTTTCCAGTTAATATTTTTAGTTGATTTAAAAAAAAAAAACAGCACTATTGATGATAAAATGGCTACACAGTCATCACTTACCTGGCCAGTGAGAGAAGAAACAAAATGGAACCCAATTATTTGTGGGTATTTCTTCTGTAACTCTATGATGGGCAACTCCACTTTTGACATCTGTTGGACAATGATGCAATTAAAATTATACCACTCTCAGTTGTAATTCAGGAAGGAAAACACCTACTAATATCACTGTCTATAATCAGGGGTTAGGGGTAGTGATCCTAGCTAAAAAAACAACCTTGGAATATGCCCAGTAAAGTTATCAGTACCCTTTTATAATAAAGCAAGTAATTATTTAATAATTTTATAATTGGTGTGATAGTAGCTTGACCTTGTCCAGATGAGTACCAACAACAAAAATGGGGGCTTTGGGTGCATGGACGGACACAGAGCTCAGCCAAAATTGTAGACCAGCATGTTCGTGGCCCAGACGGATGTTCCACAAGAGAAGGTAAACCGCTCTGTCTGACAGGAAGAACTGTGAACATAAAGAAATTGATGAAAGTTTGTTGTTGATTAAGTCACAAAATCAAGGATAGTTTAATTCTACACCCACAAAAGTTTATATCAAATATTATATTATATTTTATATTATATATTGGACAACTTTCATAATTTAATTCAAAATAAATACATTTAAAATAGCAATAGATTTTAAGTTTTATAACATAAAAATTAGTTTTTACAAATTTATTAAAGTAAAAGTGGGAAGCAAACAAAGATTGCAGGTTCTTTTACCTGATGGGTATTGTAGTAGACAGTTTGACCAGCAAAGTCCCAAACACTGAAGGTTAACTCCCCTTCCTCTGTAGGCACTGACCAAGAGGAAATGTCAATCCCTGCAAGAGAACAGGGAAAAGTTTAAAAAGAGGAACAGTTAAAAGAATGAAACAATTACTTCCAGGGAACAATTAGAGGGAAAAGGAATTGATCAAAGAAATTAAGAGGATGATTTTTACTTCTGTAATTGCAATGGTTTTTTTCAGGCATATCTTTAAGCCCCAAATCCCCCCCCCCCCCCCACCCTGGTCATCAAAGCAAGTCCAAATGAAATAGTTTTTTTTTTTTTTTACTAAATTTCAACTTTCTTAAAAAAATAATTAGAAAGATTATAAATTTGAAAATTAAATTTAAATTTTTTTTTTAAAATCCTTAATTATTTTGAACATCAGCTTATATTGCATGCATTTAGCTAAAAAATGTTACTAAAACAGAATATACTTTTCTATCTGAAGAAGACTTTTGTAAATAATGTACATTTAAATAATGAAACTATTCTAATCCAGGGAAATGAGCACAGAGCTAAGGTAGTATAAGCTGGTAGACATACTGAGCTCAACCTATCATCTGTTAACTCTTCTTCCATAGTTAGCTTTGTCTTTCCCCCACTTAGCAGAGTTCTGACAAGGCTGCAGAGAAAATGTTAACATGCTTATGTTAGAAGAAAATTTAGAGTGATAGTAGATATTAAGTTCCCTTTGTGAAACTGATGGTCCAGGGGCAAGTGAAGTAGAGTTCACCTGTTTTTGTGACCTAGACATATGAAGGGATAGTGTGATCAGCACTATGTCCAACCATGTCTTTACTTTCCCTAACGTGAGTTAGGTACCCTTCAGAGCTGGGTGAACTCAAGGAAGTTTACTGACTTAGAGGGCTATTTAAAGCAATTAGTCTAAAGCAGTTCATAGTGTGAGCACGATCAACTATTTTTCTGTTATAGGCAATTTACTATTTCATCAAAATAAAATTCAATTTTTAAAAAATGTGCTGAATGCTCTACCTATTTAGTTTTGAAGTTGTCTTCTGAGTTGGTCCTTTTTATATTTCAATATATAGTTTAAAATAAATATGTTCTATAGTTTTTGTATGGGCATCACTTGAGTCAGGCATGTTAAAACAGGAAGCATAACTCACTTGACAATGTGATTTCTCATCAAATATTTCATGGTTGCCTCCCTTATCTCAACCAGTTTTACATAAATTGTTATCTCCCTTATCTCTCACCTGGTTTTACCAGCTCCTGTGTAGCAAATAAATAATTGTCTCCCTTATTTCTCACCTGGTTTTACCTGCTCCCCCTAGCCCAACCAGCATCAGTTTAGTCCTGTGACAGGTCACTGACCCCGTGACCAGACGTTTGAGGTATGCCATTGTGGTTACAAAACCTTTAGCCCTGATCTCTTTGGGAGGAGTTTTCAGACGAGGGCACGCCTCCAGTTCAAGACCTGAAAAAACAAAGATGGTTCCAAATTTTTAATAATTGATTGAAATAATTATATTATTAATCTGATTTTGAAATTAAAAATAAATTATAAATAATTCAGATTAAAAATAAATTTTAAATTAATAAAACATGAAAGCTAAAAAAAATAAATAAATAAAACACCAACAATATAAAAAAAGAAACAATAGAACAAAACAAATATTTGAAGAGGGTTTTTATAAAATTAGATTAAAAGTAAATTAAAAACAAAGCATTCTTAATAAAAAAAAATCTTTTTGAAATAAAACATGGAAATCTCACGTTTTAAAGGTAAGGATCCAACATGTGCAGAAATGGTCAACAAATTAGGGTTGTTGCCAAGATGGAGTGTGGAAAGTTTTGTTAATTTTTTTATGTCCTCTGGGACGCTGACAATGCCAAGAAACTGTAAGGACAGGTACTGCAGGTTCTTCAACTCAAACAGCACTTCAGGGAACCCACTGGGTGTATCATCATCTAAGGGCAACAAGTAGAGCTATCAGTCATTTGTAATATTAATGTTTTATCCAGAGAGAAGACAAGAGAAACTTACAGGAAATTCAATAAAAATGTGGGGAAAATGTTAGAAGTTAAAAGACTAAAAATTGTACAACTAAGAAAATCTCTGACAGTATTTACATTCAGAAGTGTCACGTAAATTGTACAAAATATTTCTTATTCACTCTAAGTGATAAAATAAATAAACAGAAATCAAAATTTGGAGAACATTTTTATTATTTGCACAATGTTAAATTATATAAAAAATTTTTTTTAGGCCCCCTAATACTTTTTGTAAATTAAATTAGATTTGAGTATTACAGCTGTTTCTCTATATACCAGATGTTACAGGTAAAAACAGGGTAGTTTACCTGGCTGCTGTTTGCCCATGTAGCCAAACCTGGGGAAGATGTGGAACATGGTAGCATTGAGTTTCCCAATCTCCCTGGAGTCTAAAGTACCATTGGTGTCCTCATCAAACAGTTGGAAGATGGAGGACTTGTCCTACAAGGGGAAATAATCATCTTGTCAAAACACCATGGAATCAGTTTCAGATGATAAATCAGCAGAGTCAAAAATATTCGGGAAAATGTTTTTCTTTAATAACAAGATTCATTGCATTAAATCCAACACAGCATGTTTTAATAGTCAAGACAAAACAAGTTTTTACAAAACTTAACATTAGTTGAGTGTATAAACTTTAAGAGCTTATGATAATTAAACAAAATAGAGAGTAGACATGTTAAAAAGAAAACAATCAATAAACAAATAAGTTGACAAAAGGTGCAATTTTAAAATAAGTGTGTAAAATATAAAAAGCAAGCAATCATTAAACAGAAAAGACAAAAGTTACAATTTTAAAAATTAGTGTAACATATAAAAAAAAAGCAATCATTAATCAGAAAAGTTGACAAAAGTTACAATTTTAAAAATAAGTGTAACATATAAAAAGAAAGCAATCATTATACTGAAAAGAGTGTAGAAATGTAAAAAAGAAAACAATTATTAGATAGAAAAACTGACAAAAGTTACAATTTTAAAAATAAGTGTAACATATAAAAAAAAAGCAATCGTTAAACAGAAAAGTTGACAAAAGGTGCAATTTTAAAAATAGGTGTGTAAAATATAAAAAGAAAGCAATCATTAAACAGAAAAGTTGACAAAAGTTGCAATTTAAAAATAAGTGTGTAAAATATAAAAAGCAAGCAATCATTAAACAGAAAAGTTGACAAAAGTTACAATTTTAAAAATAAGTGTAACATATAAAAAGAAAGCAATCATTAAACAAAAAAGACAAAAGTTACAATTTTAAAAATAAGTGTAACATATAAAAAGAAAGCAATCATTAAACAGAAAAGTTACAATTTTAAAAATAAGTGTAACATATAAAATAAAAGCAATCATTAAACAGAAAAGTTGAGACAAAGTTAGAACCTGATTGCGCCTGTCCAGCCACTGGTGCAGGTTGTTGACCTTGAGAAAATCCTCAAAGTTCTCCCTGGACAGCAAACTGTTGCTGCGACTCTTCAGCCAGACCACCCCATTCATGGACAGAGTGGTCAGTTTTTGCATCTTGCGCATGCTGTCAGGGAGGGACGTCAGGCAGTTCCCGCTGAGTGACAGGGTCTCCAGGTTGTCAAGGTCACCAATGTTTTCTGGCAGTGAGAGCAGCTGGAGGTGCTGGGCATACAGGCGCTTCAAATTCTTCAGTTTTAGAACCACTGATGGGAGCTCTGTAAACCACAGTGTTATAGGACATAAGAAACAAAATAGCACATTTTTTACAGGCTTGATTTGTTGGTGAGGTCAAGGCATATGGTGGTACGGTGTGGCCAAATACAATGTCCAGTCATTTATACTTCTACTGTTAGATACTGTACTGAGCTAGGTTAAAGTTGAAAACACTATCCTTTGTAGTGCTGAAGAAAAAGATGCCTCATAATCCATTTCATTGGAAAGGGTACATAGCCAATTGGACAAATGATAATACATGCAAGTCAAAATTGTACGGCTATCAATTGGGGAACTTACACATTTAACCACCTACTTCGGATACATATTGTGTTGAAAACAATTAACAATTGTAATTTAAAAACAGCAGATAATTGAACTAAATAGTCCACTTTGTTAAAAAAATATCATAAGTCATGTACTCTAATTTCAAATTAAAATTGTATTGAAAAGTTTTCGTTTAATGTTTTAATAATTTTTATTTATTATATATTATTAAATAATTAAAAATTTTATGCACCTGTAAAATTATTTTTCTCCATGTCTAAGCGTAAAATGTCCTGGCATCTGTGCAGGGTGCTGGGCAGGTCCTTCAAATTGTTTTCTGCTATTGCCAGGTTGGACAACTGTTTACAGTTGCCAATCTCTACTGGGATGGAGGAGATCCTGTTGTTGCTCACACACAGATCCTTCAGGTTTGGCATCGCTTGGTACAAGATAAACATTTGTTAAGGCTCACTTTGGCCACAAACAAAATATGTGCATTTCAGTCAAATTTTCAAGATGTATAGATAATGGACAAAATAAAAAGTTGCAGGCTAAAAAATGGAAAACAAAATTGAAATAAATATGGTAATAATTATGATTGTAAGCATACTAGGGAAAGTTAAGGTGGGTGGTCTTAATGCTAACCACACCATCCCTTCATATGCAGAGGTCACTGAAGCAAGCCAACTCTACTTTCCTAACCCCATTTACCATCAGGTTCAAAAGGGTACTTTACTTTTATTTTTCATTAGCCTTAATACAGAGTACCACACTTTAAATTCACACTGTAAACAAGATTTTTAAATATTGTAAAAAGCTGATGGCAAAAGTTATGACTTACAAGTGAACAGCTGTGGAGGCAGGTCAGAAATCTTGTTCCCACTGAGGTTAAGAGAGTAGACAAACTGTGGGTAAAGTCCTGGCAACTCTGAGAAGTGCTCCAGTTGCCTGTTGACTTGCCAGGCTGCACTGTGAGATTCGCACACCAAAATACTCTCAGCAGTGAAGAGTTGGGACACTCGGACAAGCCCCTGAGATTCTCCAAACTGTAGCATCAGTGCACTCCAAAGCTGTAAGTATACATGTTCAATTAAAAAACAAAATTTTTTATAGTTAATTATCATGACATTATTCATATAATTTTAGGTACGGCTTATTGTAAAATTAGATAGTATTTTAAAAATTTCCATAGAAATTTTTTGGAAGAGAAATATAGCACTATTCATTATGTTACTATACATTTATGCATTGTATCTTTTTAACAATACAAAAGTATTAATGGTAAAATAACAAATTTGACACCTCAATAGTTGCTTCCGAAATTATTTCTTTGAACTGGAAGTCTTTGCCAAAACTCATAAAAAGTGCCTGACTTAGAAAAGTCAGCACTTGTCGGAGTCCAGAATTGACCTGATTAGAAAGAATAAAAAAATAATTTAAAAATATACTTTTCAAAGTAAGTTGTTTGCATTCAGCTTTTCATTATATAGGCTTTTGTCAATTTTTTTTTTTACTTTATATGCATTAGCCTTTGGTCTTTTTAAATTTTAATCTGTCTACTTGGCCTCATTATAATTTTTTTTAAAATTATATTTATTGCTAACCTGATGTGTTGATACATTCTCTATCTTTGGAATGTCTTTGGTTATTTTCTTTATCTCTGTTAAATCATCCTAATAAAAGAACATTGCATAGACAATAAAATATTATAATTAAAAAGTTACTTGGGGAATTTTTTAAATATTTTAGTAGGCACTCTATTTTTCTGGAAGTAGGAGCTAACAAAAAATAGGATGAAGTACTATATATATATATATATATATATATATATATATATATATATATATATATATATATATATATATATATATATATATATATAAAATCTTTAGCATTAAAGTTAAAAAATCTTAGCAATTAGCATCAATATTCTATTTTGAATTTGACTTTGAATTTTTATTTTATTTTATATAGTATCTATTTATCTAGACCTACACAAAAATTTCAACAAAAAAAAAAACCAATCTCACATGTTGAAGTCTAAGCACCATAATCATCCAAGCCCACAGCAGGCCCAGCTCTGGTGACTGGCCAGATAAAACTTGATCAAAGTCAAACTCTGCTGTAGGTGTCTCTCCAGAGTCCTCTAGCCGGATGTTGTCCAGCTCAAACCCGGTATTGTCCAGCATGTGGACAACATGGTAGCATTCTAAAGTTTTCAGCTGGGGCACACACGGACCAGAGGACAGAACTGTGTTTACATCCCCTGGTATAGAGAAGGTTGATTTTTTAGGTTTGTGTTATTTTCTTAAACTTTTCCTATTACCAGCAAAGATATAAAAAATGAAGTAGAATTTACTGTTTCAATGACTATAGCACAGCCACCATGGTTTCCTTAACAGGAATTAGGTTATAATCAGAGCTGAGAGGTCTTAGGGATATCTTACAGACTTTAGGCCAGAATCCAAACTCAACACTTTTGGGTTAGCTATTGTAAACCATCCAACCACAATATCCCTTTGTGTTATTTATAGTAGCAAATATATCCATAATATAATTGATTTATAAAATTATGGATAAATTAAGTTTAATTAAAATGTATCAAGTATATTTAATATTGAAGAAATACTTTTTCATACATAGATAAATTGTAAAAACACAATAAAAGAATAACAACAAAACTGTGTTTATATAACAGATACAATTAGATAAAAATAGATGCACATTTTTATAATATCGACATTCTGTTTATAAATATGTTATCCACACATAACCTCACCTCTGAAGCAGCACAGGGGATGTAATTTAAACTTTCCTGTTAAACTTTGCTGAGAACATGCAGTCATGTCCACTTTAGATAGTCTGCTGGGTAGCAGCATTAGGGCAGTCACTGACAACATACATAAAAATAGCTGAAGTGAAATTAATACAGAATTCATTTTTTATTTTTAAGGAAGATGAACTTTAATAATAGTTAAAATTTTCAGAACAGTTTTTAAAATTCACTAGCATAAAATTATTTGTGCACTCTAGCTTTACTTTTTAAAATAATTTCCGCATTAAAGATTTATAATGTTGCTTTTCCCAATATAATAATAATAAAAAAAATATTTCTGATTTAAAAAAAAAGAAAGAACACAAAAATTATAAATAAACTAGAGATTGTTAACAGGTGTTTTATTTAAGTAATAAAAATAGTTTTAAAATCTGAAAATTAAAAAAAAATCTACTTGGAAAGTTCCATTTGCCATCAGTAAACATAATCTTTTCTACACTATCCCTCAGCTGAACTTGCTTGGCATAAAGAACTGTATTAAAACAAAATAAAAAGTGAATTAAATGAACTAACATCCTCAAAAGTAATTAAGTTACCACTAAGTGTTAAAGGATCATTGAACAAACATAACAATTAAATCTGAGTTAAGACAGCAAGCATATTATGATGTAACTAGTTTTTAAATCCTCCTGTAAATAAATGTTAGACTAAATAAGCAAGGTAAGAATCTTATCAAAGCCTTTAATAAATAATGTAAAAAACAACATTTTCAAATTAAAGTGAAAATTTCAAACTTTTATTAGATAGTATAAATTAGTTTAAATACAGGCATAAAAGGAAGAGATAGAACTAAAATAAACAAAAGTATAGTTTATCATTTATGAAAAGAAGAATAGATTTATAAACAATAGTATTTTTAAAAAAAAGTATAGTTCATCGTTCATGAGAAGAAGAATAGGTTTTAGCAAAAATATTTTATAAAAAGTATAGAATAGTATTTTTAAAAAGTAAAGAATAGCATTTAAAAAGAAGTATAGAATAGTATTTCTAAAAAGTATAGAATAATATTTTTAAAAAGTATAGAATAGTATTGAAAAAAGTATAGAATAGTATTGAAAAAAGTATAGAATAGTATTTTAAAAAAGTATTAAAAATATTTTTAAAAAGTATAGAACATTATTAAAAAAGTACAGAATAGCATTTTCAAAAAGTATAGAACAACCTGAAGGAAAGCTAATCCCTGTACAGGCTGTAACCAAATTTTGGGGCCTTTCTTGATCTGAACTTTGACCTGGTCGGCTGTTGACTGCAGGTGTAAGCAGTGCTCTAAAGCCACAGGGTACCTGGAGCTGGAGAGAAAAAAAAATGAAGAGAGAAAAATTACATAATGGAAAGCACATTTAAAAATGGTTGACTAAAAAGATTGTTGGTAAATAAAAAATAAAGAAAGAAAATATGCAATTGTATATGCATAATACAAGAACAAAGAAAATTTAAGAGATACACATTACAGCATCAAATTCAAACTATTTGTCAGCACAAATCATTTTAAAAACAATATAATCTTGGGGACTAAAGTCTTGAGAATTAAAATCTTGGGGACTATAATCTTGGTGACTAAAAAAACCTTGGTGACTAAAATTTTGGTGATTAAAATCTTGGTGACTAAAATCTTGGGGAATAAAATATTGGTGACTAAAATCTTGGATTTCTGATAAAATAACAAATAGCTTATTAAATTTTTAAATTAGTCAAACATTGCAACTTTTCTGCTTAGAATGTGCAGGGTAAAGAAATGTGTCTTTATGTGTGTTGATCATGGTAGGCATGTTGGATATTCTTGAGCTTTGGTAGGTCTACATTTGTGCCTGTATGGTGATTTTTACTTGCACTGTGTTGTTGTGGAATGGTAAAGGACAAGAATCCTTAGACAAGTCTAGGGCAGGGGTCGGCAACCTGCAGGTCGCGAACCGCATGCGGCTCTTTTGATGTCAAGATGTGGCTCTCCCGCTCCTTGTATTTTATTTTCAAAACTCATAACAAAAATTATACTATAAAGAAACACATGTTTAAACAGAAGAAAAAGACGCATTAGAGAACAGTGCGAATATGTGCACTAGAAAGTATACGGACAGCTAACAGTAGCTTGGGCACCAGGTCCAACCCCAAAGCCATATTGTGGACAGCCCCGTGGCAACAATTCCATGCTTGCCACTGCCCAAAAGCCGACTTTTTCGAATATCGTTAAATGGGGAATGCAATTTTATTCAGAATGCGTTTCTCTATCTGTCAGTAATCATTAATTTGACGTGAGTGACGTAGTTTTTTTTTTATTAGCTTCCAACTGTTGAGACGGGTACTAGACGGTGGGGTACGAGTTTACCCTGCGTTCAGTGGGGTGAAAGATAAGCCTGGTGAGAAGCAAAGGACAGAATCGACCGATACACGGTAGTCAAGCCGATATACAAGCCAGGTAGTCGGTTTTTGCCATGTTGAGGCGTGCCTGGGTATTGGAGGCGCCTTCTGAGCCGGGGATATCCGTCAAGAAAGAAAACAAAAAGGTTAACTGCTTCTAAAGTGGATTTGAATAGTCCTATATTTATATTTTTTATTACTAATTTCATAATTCTGGTGAAACAAGTGTATGTTTTATATGAACAAATATTATTTCATATTTAAAGCGATTTATTTTAAATAAAAAATCAAATGTATTTACCTATTTTTAATCAAATAATAAAACATTGAAATAACAAAAATGCTAGTGGCTCTTTAAAAACTGGGAAATTTTGAAAATTGTAATTTTTGGCTCTTCCCTCTCAAAAGGTTGCCGACCCCTGGTCTAGGGTGAATGAGGGGAATTGGGTAATTTGCTTATATTGACCTGCAAGCATAGAAGCAATGTATGCTCCTCACAGCTACCAAGTGTGTGGACATCCTCAACTGATGTTGTTGGTTAGAAAGGCTTAAAGTCTTTATTATATAATGAAGGATTTAAATGAAGGATTTACTTGACTAAATAATATTTAAATCATGCAAGGAGATGTAAGAGCGTTGAGTAAAGTTAACTGTATCTGGTCTACAAATTCAATATTTCACAAATCTAAATGGTTTTCATTTCGAATAGTGTCAAAAGATAATTAAAATATAAAAAGAGTTTGGATATCATATAAGAGTTTTCATAAATATGATTTGAAAAATAATAATAATGAATTACATTTTCTATTTTTTTAAATGTATTATTTTAATATCACTGTATTTTTTTTTACCAATTGTACTCATTGATTTTTCCCCCTGATAAACTTTAGATTATATATGGGAAATAACTAATTCAGTAATATTCATTGTTATTTTTTTCTACATGGCAATAAACAGATTATTAAAATAGGCCTGTCTCCATTTATAAATGTATAACTGTCTGTTAGTCAGGCAGTAGATCTGTCTCTCAGTCTGACAGTCTTTATATATATACATGTATATATATATACACAGTATATATATACTGATACAGTAATATTCCCTGTTTATATATATATATATATATATATATATATATATATATATATATATATATATATATATATATATATATATAAACAGTGAATATTACTGTATCCGTTACTTATATATATACATATATTTATACATACTAAATTTCTTTTATGCAAAGGATGCATTTTTTTGCAAAAAAATATGATGACAGAAATTCAATTCCAAATAAATATTAGGCAACATTATCCTTTTTCTAGTGGTATTTGTGTTCCAGCATTAGCATAATCTGAGGGACTAGGTAAATGAGAGGAAAATCATGTGACTGGTAGCCAAATAGTCACGAGTTTGGATCCCTGGGCTTGAGTCTTTAGGACACCCATCAGAGTTCATCCAGACTCACTTTAGGAAAACAAAGGCAGCTGGGCATAGTGCTGACCACACTTTTGTGAATGGACTTAAGTGTATTGAATGAGTTTGAGAGTATGTGTGTAGTTGAATGGAGTTAATAAAGTTGTGGATGGTTTGAGAGTATGTGTGTAGCGGTATTAATAAAAGATTATGAATGCGTGAATAAATAAGGATGTGACGTAAGAGAGAATGTTTTGGTTGTTATGAAGATAGTTGGAAGTCAGTCTTGGTCTTGTCGTCGTCTTGTGAGGATGTCTAGAAGTCGTCGTCCCGTCTATCGTCTATGTAGCTGTTGGTATTATATGTAATAAAAGATGGAAACATCGTAGCGTCATTCTGTGTTCTTCATTGGATCGTCGTCATCTATTGTTAGTAACGTTCAGCATCGACCCTGTACCAAAACTCACTTTGCAACACACACCACCACTTTTTGTGCAGAGGTCATTAAAACAGATGATCATTATTTACTTTTAGGACATATTTTTTTTAAAAAAAAACCCTTTTTAGAAAAGGCTTTTTATAAATTTTTTTTTTACCATTTCATAGTATCAATAATATCCATAGTCTAATTGAATTGAAAACTAAGTATGAAATAAGTTTAATTGAAATGTATGAAATTTATAGGTCTAATATTCAAGAAACACTTTACACTTTTATCCTATATAGATACATTATGAAAACACAAAAAATGATTGCTTTTGTACTCATGCCAATTTCATAAAAGTTCCTTAGAAAGTGCTAACAGTTAAACTCTTTGTAAGTTTGATTTCTATAATTAAAAAATTTGGTGTGAGTTATTTCTCCTACACTTCATTTTTAAATTAATTGATACAAGTGTCATGCTTGCATTAATTTACACAAAACTGTTGCTTTAAAAAATAAAAATGAGAGACATGCTATAAAGGTTAAGTTATATCTGTATATTTTTCTGCAGTGAATTTCTGTCAAACTTTTTGCTCCTGCACCAAGGGGGACTACCTAAATTGGAAAAGTTCTGAATGAGTTCCCTTTTGATACACATGACTCAATTACCTTTAGAAATGACCATACTGGCACTGGACTTCTTTCAACACCTGTCTCACCTGTTTCGACATAATAAAAATGATTAAAAAATATAAGCAATTATTTTTTAAATTTAAAGATTTAAAAAAAAAATTATAACACAGTTTTAGCAACAGATGGTTTTTTTTGGTTAAAATGTTCCTGCCTGCACTGTTTTGGTAATAAATTATAATTTTAAAAAAATCAATTGGAATATTTATTAAATCTGAACACCATACACAAAACAGTTTTTAATATGGATAAATAAGGACTTGAGCTTATCAGGACTTGAGCTTATCTGCCCTAATAAACATAAGGCACAAGAATGGAAATATCTTAAGTTTACTCAAATATTACAGATAGAAGCCTAGATGTAGCCTGCACATGTAAAAAAAATACCCCTTTTAGACCTAAAGATCCATAGGGCTGATGAAGTAGAGTTTGTAAGGTTCTTGACCTCGGCATATGAAGGTATTGTGTGATCAGCACAATACCCAGCCACCTTTACTTTACCCAATGTGAGTTGGGTACTCATTAAAACTGAGTGGACTCAGAAACATCCTACAGCCCTGAGTCCGGGCTGAGATCCGAACTTGAGACCTTTTGGCTAGTAGCCGAACTGCCTACACATGTGTAATAGAATAAATGTAACATGTAACTGTTACCAGGTTTTAAAGTTGATGCCAGTAGGGTTGAGAGAGCAGAGGTAGTTCCAGCAGGTCTGAGCTTAGGGCTGGTGTAGACATGCTCCATCTGTTCCCCATTTACATCTAGAGAAGATTTCATTGTTAAAGTTTATTGAGCTGAAGGTTAATCTAAAATTTAAATTCTAAATACATCTTCATTGTTAAAGTAAAGTTAGCTATCTCATAGTTGTGTTGAAAGTTTATCAAATAGTAAAACAAATTAAGAAACACATTTCAGTATTAAAGTTAGATCTCTCACAGTTTATCTGTGTCATTTACTGATCCCATTTATAATAAAGGAAATAAATACATAATCATAAAAATATTTTTGGTTGAGTGGTTAAGAATGAAACGGAATATCATTTTTGAAAAAAAAATTCAAAATTTAACCTATCTGATGATAATTGTTATCTAAGAATCATCAGCTTTATTCCAAAGGGATTTCACCAAATCAATTTGAAAGGAGTTATAGCTACCTGGTATTACTAAGAGAATAACTGTACTTTAACTGCAAATTATATCAGAGACAGTTAAAACAAGTCACTGATTGTAGTACCTAGAGTATGGTATCACATTTAAGATTGCTGTACCTAGAGTATCACATTTAAGATTGCTGTACCTAGAGTATCACATTTAAGATTGCTGTACCTAGAGTATCACATTTAAGATTGCTGTACCTAGAGTATCACATTTAAGATTGCTGTACCTAGAGTATAACATTTAAGATTGCTGTACCTAAAGTATCACATTTAAGATTGCTGTACCTAGAGTGAGGTATCCGTCAGCTGACTTCTCCTTGATGACTGCTGGATGTGTTGTGTTTTCATCCACCATCACCTCTAGACAAGACCCTTCACTAAAGTAATTTTCATTCCACTGCCACTCCCTCTAGATAACAAAAATTTCATACCGAGCTTTTTCATTTTGTTACATTTTTCAAATTGTTTCATTGGTTTTTTTTTCATTAACTAAATGTAAGAATTGTTTTAAAACATCAATGATTGGTAAATTAATGTTACATGTCTTATGTTAATGAGCACTTTAATACTAGGCTTATAATGGCTTATATGCTGACAGCATAATTCCCACCTTGTTTACCGTTATACATTATGCATGTCTAGTTAAATTTTTACCTCAATACTAGGTGTATGACCCACCCAAATGTTTACCTTAATACCGGGTGTATGACCCACCCAAATATTTACCTTAATGCCAGGTGTATGACCCACCCAAATGTTTACCTTGATGTCAGGTGTATGACCCACCCAAATGTTTACCTTAATGTCAGGTGTATGACCCACCCAAATGTTTACCTTAATGCCAGGTGTATGACCCACCCAAATGTTTACCTTGATGTCAGGTGTATGACCCACCCAAATGTTTACCTTAATGCCAGGTGTATGACCCACCCAAATGTTTACCTTAATGCCAGGTGTATGACCCACCCAAATATTTACCTTAATGACAGGTTTATGACCCACCCAAAACTTTACCTTGATGCCAGGTTTATGACCCACCCAAATGTTTACCTCAATGCCAGGTGTATGACCCACCCAAATGTTTACCTTAATGCCGGGTGTATGACCCACCCAAATGTTTACCTTAATGCCGGGTGTATGCCCCACCCAAATATTTACCTCAATGCCAGGTGTATGACCCACCCAAATGTTTACCTCAATGCCAGGTGTATGACCCACCCAAATGTTTACCTTAATGCCGGGTGTATGACCCACCCAAATATTTACCTCAATGCCAGGTGTATGACCCACCCAAATGTTTAATGCCAGGTGTATGACCCACCCAAATGTTTAATGCCAGGTGTATGACCCACCCAAATATTTACCTTAATGCCAGGTGTATGACCCACCCAAATGTTTACCTTAGTGCCAGATGTATGACCCACCCAAATGTTTAATGCCAGGTGTATGACCCACCCAAATGTTTACCTTAGTGCCAGATGTATGACCCACCCAAATGTTTACCCAGGTGTATGACCCACCCAAATGTTTAATGCCAGATGTATGACCCACCCAAATGTTTACCCAGGTGTATGACCCACCCAAATGTTTAATGCCAGGTGTATGACCCACCCAAATGTTTACCAGCTGTACGAATCACTCAATGTTTTACCTTAATGCCAGGTGTATGTATGGTATAATATCCAGCTTTCTTTGAGAGGAGTTCCAGCCTCATGTGCCAGCCATCAACCTCTTCAGTCAGAACGTCCAAACCTTTTATTGCAATCACCACTCTCACACGTTTACCCACCTGTCAAAGCAAATTTTTTTTTAACAAAGAGTACTTTTACACATTAGTGGAACTTACACACCATGATATATTCAGAGGAATAATAAATCTAGACTGCTGCAAATATTATGAAACATAATTGTATGTTTTTTTTTGTCTAGTTGTCAATTTTAGCATACAAATAATATTTTTAAAATGTATATACATTCTAGTTGCTCACCACAAAAAGAAAAACAAGCTATTTATTGAATGTATTTTAAAAAGTTGTTTAAAACACTTTTTCCATGTTTTTTTTTTTTATTGCCAAAGTATGTTTCTTGAGGTTACATTCTAATTTTTACTTTGTAATTTTAGATGTTTTACTTTTACTTCATTTGTATAATACTAAATTAAAAGTCAATTTGAAATGCTGATGTTTAGGCACTCTAGCAATCTGGTGAAAAAAGCTTGAGCAACAAACACATTTTATGATGCTTAAACCCTGTCTTCAAATAAATAAATAATGAGAACAATTTTAAATTCAATTAAAGTCTTTGAAAAAGTTAAATTAAAATCTTTGTATGATTGAAGCAGTTTGTTTTTACCTCAACAGATTCTAGACGAACATTAATCAGATTGGCATCCCTGCTTTTCCATACTTCATTCTGCTGCATCTTCCCCTGTTGGTTGACAAACTCTCCTGCAATCCCACGATACTCCAGGACAACACCGGTACCACTGAAAACACAATACCAGTACCACTGAAAACACAACACCAGTACCACTGAAAACACAACATCAGTACCACTGAAAACACAACACCAGTACCACTGAAAACACAACACAACACCAGTACCACTGAAAACACAACACCAGTACCACTGAAAACACAACACCAGTACCACTGAAAACACAACACCAGTACCACTGAAAACACAACACCAGTACCACTGAAAACACAATACCAGTACCACTGAAAACGCACACAAAACTCTAGCACAACATCAGTACCACTGAAAACACAACACCAGTACCACTGAAAACACAACATCAGTACCACTGAAAACACAACACTAGTACCACTGAAAACACAATACCAGTACCACTGAAAACAACACTAGTACCACTGAAAACACAACACTAGTACCACTGAAAACACAACACCAGTACCACTGAAAACACACACAGAACTCTAGCACAACACCTTAAAAAATTTAAATGTTAAATGATTTTCAAGTTTCTACTAAACAACTTTATACATTTTATCATAGTTATTTCTCCACAACCTGAAATGTATAGCTTCTTTGTTTAGAATATACAAACTTTAACTGTTTATTTTCAAACTGAATTTTCTATTTCAACACATACTAGAAAAAACTTTAAGCAAAACCCTTAATACAAATTTTTTTTTTTTGTTACATCAAATTGATAATAACTTTAAATAGCTCTAATAAACTTACAATGTCATAACTAAAAAGAAATTCGCTCCCTTGGATATAGTTATCTGTGCTTCATCCCAGAAGAATGGAGTCATTGGGGGCAGGAAGTTCATGCGGTGACCTTTCTTGTAGTAGTACACCGACCCTTTTGTGTTGCTGACAATGCGGTCATCGTTCTTGAGCTGCATCTCAACATACTTCTGCAGCTTGAATGACTTGGATGTGATATGGCCTGGTTGGACAACCTTAATCATTTTCTGTAGAAAAATATAAGGTCATAGATAAGGATGGCATGGTCGAGTGGTAGAGCTTACGACTGCTAACCTAAAAGTCTTGAGTTTGAGTCTGTAGGATGTTCCTGAGTCTACTGAGCTCTAATGGATACCTGACTCACGTTAGAGAAAGTATTTTGCCTGCACTATGGCCTGCCTGTTTTAGAAGGGTACTTTACTAATTTACTTTATGGATATTTAATTTCATTTATATAGCTGATTCTAAAATTATAACTTTAGACTATGTTTTTTATTTTAAAGAATGCATAGACATTACAAAGTTGGCAGAAATCCTTTTATTGTTTCACCTTATATAAGATAATAAAAAAATTCCGTTGATGTCCCACCTAATTTTAAACTTTGTTTATAATAAATTTTTTCCCATGTTTATAAGCAGTAATTTATTTTTACTATCAAATGTAAGAAATGTAGAGCTTCTCAAGAGCTGAATATTGATAGGGCAGAAGAACTCTACTTCATCAGCTATTATGGCTAAGATACTAAAAGCAATTGTAATCCAGTTAATTTCATACCCACCTCCAATTTACACAAAATAAGTAATTTGTAAACATTGTTTGACACTATTTTTAAAAATATTGGTAAATATAAAAAAATAATTATCAATTTTAAAATTATGGAAAGTTAAAGTAAAAAATTTTTTTTACAGCAAACTGGTGTACACAGCTGGAGCACATGTGGCAATGTAAACAGAGAACGCCATGAGTTCCTCCACAGTAAAAACATCTGAGGGGAGGAAACATCAATACAATATTTTTTATAAATTATATATTTTTACATCATATGTGTAACAAATTATTATATACATAGTTAAAATTAAATTCATTTAAATTGATCACGCATATGTAAACGTGGAGGCATGGTGAAATGGTAGAGCGATTTGCTACTAGCCCAAAGGTCTAGAGTTCAGATCTTTGTTAAGACTTGTGACTGTAGGACAACCCAGTTCTGATGGGTGCTTTACTTACATTTAGGAAAGTAAAGGCGGCTGTTCATAGTACTGACCACACCATCCCTTTATATGCAGAGGCCAAAAAACATATGGACTCTACTTTTTAAGCATATTTTGACAACTTTATTTTGCTTTTAAAATAAATCCATCAATCATAGTTTGTTTCTCTCTATGGAAACCAAATACAAACAAGACAAATAAAATAATGTCACTATCTATTGGAAAACGTAAACAAACATGTCTCACTTTTCTGGGGAATCCATTGGCCTATGGCGATCTGCCCTGATAGTATCTTCAACAATCACATTAGCATCAATCATGTAGGGATAGTTGTGATGTGGAATCAACAGACTTTCTGTAAAGGCCAAACCAAAATAGCTTACTTAACTAATTTTTTTTGTTCTTTTTACTAGTCTCTAATTACAAATGCTATGCATGTTGAATATTAATGAACACTCAAAATTAAAACAGCAGCAGTTATCCCAATTTAATTATATGGTCCCTTAAGAATGTACAAAGAAGAATTGTGACTAACTTTCTATGGTCCCTTATGAATGTACGAAGAAGAATTGGTACCCACCTCATATGGCCCTTTATGAATATACCAAGGAGAATTGTGACCCACCTTCTATGGTCCCTTATGAATGTACCAAGAAGAATTGTGACCAACCTCCTTGCTCAGTCTGGGGCTCACACAAATAGTTGTGGTCAATCTTTGGATGACTCTTGCAGTGCTTGTGTCTGCTGGATATCAAGCCAATGTAGTAAGGCAGGTGCCATGTCTTCGTGACGTCAATCATTTTCTCTGTGTTTGATTCTGAGCACTCTGGACAAACTAGTGTCACCTGTACAAAAATCTGGGCTTTAGGCACATTTGTTTATTTAAATTATTTCATTCATTTTTTTTCAGTTGCCTCCCCTACTCCATTAAAAAGAAAAATATGTTCTTAATAAAATTAAGCAACACTATACTTTCCTTAGACTATAAACTGTTATTTTGTATACAAATATATTGTTACTGTTTGTTAAAGTTTTACTAAATATATTGAAACAGCATAAATTGTTTAAAAATTGAAATTACTTTTTTTTAAATAAAAAAAAAACAGTAACTTTCTAAATTAAATAATAATTAGCTTTTTACACTAGTTTTAAGGTAATGTTTTTAATAATATTTCAGCCGAATGTACACCTAATGAAGACAGAAACAGCACATACAAATTTCTACAGTGTAGACTTAGCTAAGATACAAACACCAAATACAAATCAATACAACCTACACCAAACCAAGATAGAAAATCGCATACAAATTCATAGTGTAGATCTAACCATGATAAAAACACCACATTCAAATCCATAAAATCTCGACCTAGTTAAGATAGAAACACCACATACAAATCCACACTGTGGATCTATCCTAGAAAAAAAAAACCCACATACAATGTTCACTAAACCAAGATAAAAACACCACATACAAATCCATAAAATCTCGACCTAGTTAAGACAGAAACACCACATACAAATCCATAAAATCTCGACCTAGTTAAGACAGCAACACCACATACAAATCCATAAAGTGTAGACCTAGTTAAGACAGAAACACCACATACAAATTTATAGTGTACACTTAGCTAAGACATAAACACCACATACAAATCCATAAAGTGTACACTTAGCTAAGACAGAAGCACCACATACAAATCCATAAAGTTTCATTTTCTGCACCACACTGTCCACTACTAGCAGGACTTGTCTGAGAGCAGCAAACATGGTACTGCGAGCCTCCTGCGAGGAGTCGATGATGCTGGAACTTTTCTTCTGCCTGATGTCAACAGCCCTAGCAGATACAACCAGCACTGGAGTCTCTGGGGTTGGGAAAACAAAAGGCTGAATTCTTGAGTTGCTGTTCAATAATGCACAATTACGTAAAGCATAATGTTAAAACTTGAGGCTGATTTCTTGATGAGATAAACATTATTTTAATTTTAATTTATTATGCATATTATTAATTAAGCATACTCGGGTCACAGATAAGTTAAAAAAGGTCAGTGAAACATATAAAGTACAATATTAATTAGTTTTACTAAATATATTTAAATAATGTATTACAATCAATACAGCTATTTAGGTCACAGTTTGATACAATTTATTTCAAAACAATAAAACAATTTGGTAAATTATAGATTAAAAAAACATAAATCAGTTAATTAAATATTACATGATTAATTTTGTAATCATTGAACTAAAATAAAATTTTGGCTTTTATTTAAGTTAAATGATACTTTTAAAATTAAAAATACATTGAGTCACAGTTGAACCAGTAATAGTGTATCTTAAATATAATACATTGGACAGTCATAAAAAAACAGCGAGATAAAAAATAGATTACTGTCAAGTCTTGCGTCACCCTTGTATCTGTGTAGAGAGGCTCTGATGTCCACTGGACCCTGTCTAATCAAGAAACCAGTGCGCCAGATACACAAGGGCTGGAACACTTTCAACACTGACCTGTTCATCAAAACCAGAAGTTAATTTTTGTAATGAACTTAGCCGCTCGTTAAATATACACACATACACACTTGTTGTATAAATGGGTGTAGCACTTAAGATGGACAAGGTTTTATAGGAATGGTGGAAGGTATAAAGCTGCTTAAATTTGTCTTCAATGTGTTAGCTGCTTGAATAAAATTAATTAAAAGCTTATTGAAAATGGAAACATGTAAAGCTACCTTAAAAGTTTTGACATAAAGCCGTCAGGAATTGTGGGTAGGAAGTTGTAGCATCTGTTTGTTTGTATAATCCTCTGCTGAGGGCAAGGCTCGGGCCATAAACTTTGCTGAGAAACATTGTTTTAATGGATCAACTTGTTATTTGGCTAAACATTTGTGACTTTAAAAAATAGAAAATTAAACTTGAAAAAGTCCACTTCTTTAATAATAAAAAGAATTTTGTAAATTGGACAACTTCATGAGTTGAGGAATTAAAGGAGCTATAATTTTACATTTTTTAAAATACAAATAGGTTTATCTGAGCTTTTAAAACATTGTTTATTTATTTTTTAAAATACTTTAATGGCAGTTAATGTTTTTCATATTGTGAAAAATATAAAACATTCAGTCCACCTATGTACATATAGGACAGTATTAAAAAATTCAGTGAGAATATTAGCTAAGTCCAACTGAGCCTTTAAAATGGAGACACACAAGATTTCAACTCACCAACATGCTGTGACTCTCTGGGATATCTGACATCCTTACATACACAGAATCTCCATCTTGGCTTTTTTCAAACAAAAGTGGACTCAGTTTTATAAGCAAGCCTTGTCTTTTAAAAATATCTGCAGCTTTCAAAGCCTGGTAAAAAATTATAAAAGCAAGAATCTCTAAACCAATATAACAAAGCTTTAGGTACACTTGGGAAATAGGAAGAAGCAAATAACAAAAATAATTTAAAATGTCAAATGCAAAAAAATTTTAAAAAATAAAAAGTAAAAATCAAAGCGATTGTCACATCAACATACAATTTTTAGAATTTGCTTAAATGCAAAAAAAAAAAAAAAAAAAAAAATCTCACCTCTCCATGAAGTTTTTCTGCTTGAATAAAAGCCTCAAATGAATTGACCTTCCAGCATGGAACACTGTGACCTATGGAGGTGACCCTGACCTTGTCAGGAGGTGTTGTAGTCAGGAATTTGACCAACAGACTTTCATAAGTCATTAGGTCTGTGGCACACAAACTCTTTCGCTGATGCCACAAATACAGACCATTTCCCTGAAATTGTGGTATGAAACAAAAACATGTTTTTACCTCTCATTTTAACTAATTTCTAAACCTGTAGCTTACTTTAAAAAAGTAGCATATAAAGAAAAGATTAAACTACTTTAATGAACTGAAAAAGAATTTCTTACTGCTATATTTCACTTTAAGTTGTATGTACTTAAAATTCTACATTGTTTCACATCATTAGACTAAAAATATTTGATAAATAGCTTAAAAGGAATTTGAAAAATCAACATCGTTATGCTCATCTTCTATGTGTAGGCTACAAACATATTGTTAAAAAATCTATAACTTACTCCTATAATCAATTTTTTTTATAAGCAGTAAAGGTTACAAAATCAAGAAAACCTACCCAGTAGTGCAGCAGATTGAGAACCTTCCCTAATTTTTGATAGGAGTACTTGGTATATCCCTGAGCTTTAGCCTCCACATCTGTTTGGTGAAATAGTGATTTCTGGTCTGTAAAACCTGACTTGGGTAGCTGGACAAGAATAAAATAAAGTAAAATAATGAATTCTGATATGAAAAACCTCTTTGATAGGTGGAGAATAATGGAAAAATGAGTAAATTTGTCATTAAACATGTTTTTTATGATCTGTCTAACTGAAAATATTTTATCAAAATGTCTCCTTTGCATAATTTTTTTCATTTTAGACTATGAAATTAATTTAAAAATAGCAACTAGAAGATTTATTTATTTTTTAAATTTTAAAATTGGTAGAGTAAACAAAAGATAGGATGATGAGAACATATTTTATACACCAATTTAATTTCTTTTAAATATATCGTTGTATTTTATTTCAATATAATTTTTTCTGACTCTGTTTTCAGACACATAGAAACATCTGATCTATGATTTAACAGATTTGACAAAACACAGATCTATAATTTAACATATTGGACTAAACATCTGACATGTAATCTAACACACAGAGTAAAACATGTGATCTACAATTTAACACAGTTGAAAAAACACAGATCTGTAATTTAACACATCGAACAAAACACACAGATCTACAGTTTAATACATTAGACAAAACACAGACCTATAATTTTGTAATCTAACACAGAGCAAAACACCTGATATATAACTAAACACTATGAAAAACCACCTTATCTATAATTTCCAATGTTTTTTTCGACCATTCACAATGCACCCAGGGAACAAGGACCTTCACATTTTCAGCACATTTAATTAAAGCTGAGGTCACATCCTTCTGAAAATTTTCTCTGGTCTGCAATAGCAATAAATTTACATAGGTAAATTTTTCTATCATTCAATATAAACAGATTAATTATTGTAATGTATTTTAAATTAAAATGTTAAAAGAAATTAGAACATTTTTACTCTTAAAACAGGCCCAGATTTTCAAAATGTACAAATAGCACACTTTATTCTAAAAAAACAACTCAGACCTTGGCATGCAGTATGCTAACTCTCTAATTTGTTAGATCTACAATACTGTATAAGTAAAGCCATTTTTTTTAATATCTCAAGAAATAAACTTAGCAAATAATACTTTAAATTAAAGTATCAACAACATATTTGGTAAAAAATCTTTATAAACCTTCGGTATTTTACACCCTATATATTTTGATAGTCTGGATGTGAATGCTGATTTTATAGCATAATTAATATGTGTAAAGTAATTACTGAACATGAAGGCAAACTTACTACATTTATTGTTGTCATTCTCTGAGTCTCTTCCTTTTCCACTAGATTTTCTAAACTCTCTAGACTGGAGATTCCCCATGCTAACCCTTGCTGACCTTTAAAGTCAAGGTGTTCCAATTGATAGTTCCTCCTGATCAGAAGTAAAAACTTGAGGTTACCTTTAACTTACATATATTATGTTAGAAAACTGCATCCTGTAATATGTTATTTGAAGAATAGCAGCTTTATAATAAGGGTATGGAAAAAATCATTATATTAAAAATGTGAACTTGTGGTGTGAAATAAATCAAATAAATGAAAATAATCTGTCAAAGTTTCATAAATTTTCCTCAAATAAAACCTTACTGGTAAAGCTCATAGGTTGCAGCATAGAGACTTTTGATGAGGTATTTAATTCTTCTCTTGATCAAAGTTTTCACCTTGCTGCCACCAGGTGTGTCAGATACTTCCACAAGTAGAAACACAACATCAGAACACTGGGGGTGAAGGTGAAGGACATTTATATAAAGCACAACTGTACTTTTGACACAATTATAGAACAGAGGGTTGTTAAAAACCCGACAGCAACTATTAAAAAGAATAGGATCATAAAATTTGTCATCACTTTATCCTGTGCCTAGATGTTTAGTAACACCCCATACTTAGTGAACACAGCTGTTTTTGCTGGAAATATTTTAATGATTTGATGAAACTTCTACAACAGAGCAGGATGTTTTAACAATGTCCGTTCTTATTTTTTGTACTTATTTTCTTTCAACAGTTTACAAGCAAATATGAACTTTTCCTCAAGAGAAAAGCACAACTGTACCACAAGTGATCAGTCCAAAAAATTTTCAAGTATTAGAGAATGTTGTTATTGGTAATTCAAAAGAATTGCAACAATTAAATGGTGTGTTTTGTTAGATTATATGTAAATTTTATGAAAAAAATATCAACATCAAAACTAAAATTATTAACATAACAATTAAATAAAATTTAAAGTTATTTAGATAATAAAAACAAGTAGTTAATACCTTAATAATTACTGATGCAATAATGTCCGCCATTTTTTCTGCACATGCAACAATTTTAGTGTCCTCAGTGGGTGGAGTATACACAATCATTACAACAGAACCTCCAGAGACTAAGGTTTCTTTTAGAGGCTAGAAAACATTGTTGGTTAAATGTTCATTACAACAGAACCTTCAGAGACTAAGGTTTCTTTTAGAGGCTAGAAAACATTGGTCATTAAATGTTCATTACAACAGAACATTCAGAGACTAAGGTTTCTTTCAGAGGCTAGAAAACGTTGGGCATTAAATGTTCATTACAACAGAACCTTCAGAGACCAAGGTTTCTTTCAGAGGCTAGAAAACGTTGGTCATTAAATGTTCATTACAACAGAACCTTCAGAGACCAAGGTTTCTTTCAGAGGCTAGAAAACATTGTTGGTTAAATGTTCATTACAACAGAACCTTCAGAGACCAAGGTTTCTTTCAGAGGCTAGAAAACATTGTTGGTTAAATGTTCATTACAACAGAACCTTCAGAGACTAAGGTTTCTTTTAGAGGCTAGAAAACATTGTTGATTAAATGTTCATTACAACAGAACCTTCAGAGACTAAGGTTTCTTTCAGCGGCTAGAAAACATTGTTTGTTACATTTTCATATCAAGAGAACCTCCAGAGACTAAGGTTTCTTTCAGAGGCTAGAAAACATTGTTCATTAAATGTTCATTACAACAGAACCTTCAGAGACTAAGGTTTCTTTTAGAGGCTAGAAAACATTGTTGGTTAAATGGCTAGGATGAAAACAATCATTGTAAATGAACCCTCTGAGACAAGTCACTATTTTAGTGATTAATATACTTTTTTAATGAAGATAGAAAAATATCTAACACCACACTAGCACTTAGAGTTTGTATAGTATAAGCGTACATATCTAAAAACAACTGTTGGTATAATAGAATCAACTGAATATCTGACAGAAATATTTAATACAATAAAGAATGATAATAATGTTCTTAGGTGTTTATATTTAAAGCAAAAATAATTGTAAAAAAAAAATTATGAAAATTCTCATGCAAAAAATTCTAATCAATAAGAAAATATTTCTTACATCTGATTATCTGTAGCATCAACAATGTAATATTTATTTCTATAATTAAAATTACCATTATGTTGTAAGGTAGAAACAAAACTTGATAAGCCACTTACACTCTGTGCAGGTATTTCAAAAATATTCCAAGTGTTTGAGTCTGTTGTTCCTGGCAAAACAAAAGACTGGCAACAACTAAATGGCTTCAGGGTTTTGTTTTTACCTCCACTGAGAAGATTCAAAACCTGCTCATCCAGGCTTCCATCCCTCAAAATAACAAGTTTTCTTTTCTCTAGGTCCTTGTACTCTTCCTGATTTTCACCTTTGATACAAAACATTATTTTTAAACTGCTAGCGCATTTAAATATATGTTTTAGGTTAGGCCTATATTTCAATAATTTTTAGTTTCAACACTGTCTATGATGATCATATTGTTGAAATGGAAAAACAAAATTATTTTGTCTACAACGTTAGAGGATACAATTTTAAAAAGTGCTAAAACTAATGCTGATGCAATCAGCACTTTAAGTACTCTTTCAAACCAGATGGTTCTTAGAGCAGATGAAGTAGAGTTTATCCATTTCAATGATGTTGGCATATGAAAATATTGTATGGTCAGCACTCTATGCCCACGTTTATTTGCCCTCGCCACAGTCAAGTACCCAATAGAGCTGATTGGACTCAGCCAAGTCTTACAGCCTTGAGCCACTGAACTATTGGCTTTTATGTTGGTAATCATGTTGTATAATGCTTGAACAATACACTAAATCAACTACAACATTCAAACTATTTTTTTTATTTGCAAAAAAACATTTTCTCGTTTTTCTGTTTACCTGTCAAGATGGAGTATTGTTTCCCCTCTGATATAAGTGGGTTACCTGCCCACTGAAAGGAGCCTTTAGAAAGTCTGGTGTGAACTACCAAAAAAAAACATATTTTTATTTAATAGTTTATTTTAAGTATCCATTATAACAAAGTTAAAAAAAATTGATCAATGTAGTTAAGTAACATACAGTTACCTACAGTAATGATTGCAATTTGGTATCCGCTTGATTATTATTTCAAGTAAAAAGCACTTGTATTTTTATGCACCATAGTAGTAGTGATCACCCAACAAATAAGTTATATTTGTCTTTATATGCATACAATCTCTTAGTAATAAATGTTTATAATTAGCAGAAAAATAGCATTTCACTATATAAATGATGACATATAATGCAAGAAATTATAAGAAACAAAGAGACTTACCGTATGAGTCTGGAATTATGGCAGCATTAGTAGCCATGGCAGACACATTCTGCAACTTGTTGCAATTACTGAACAAATAGTGCAGGCCTTTCTCTGTGATTTTTCTGCAGGCATTCACCTCCAGCTGCAGAAGTTTAATTGATGTTAAGTTGAGGTTTGGTGCTTGAGCGTTTAGGTGCTAGCTCGAAGGTCTAAAGTTCAGATCTCAATTTGGAGGTGTAACTGTAGTGTCCCTGAGTCCACCCAGCTCTAATGTGTACCTGACTTACATTGGGGAAATTAAAGGCAGCTGGGAATATTCCTGACCACATCATACCTTTATATGCCGAAGTCAAAAAACATGAATTCTACTTCATCTGCCCAATGGATTGGAAGGTCTAAAGAGAAATTTTTACTTTAAGACTTGGTGCTACAAGAGAGTACTCAGTCAACAGTTAATACAAATTTTGGAATATATCTGTGAGGAAACACTACATCATCGTACAGTTAGTATTGATGATAATGGTACCTCGAAGCTAGCCCTATAATAATTAATCTAAAACATTAACATAGTCCTAGGATTAAAAGTATCATTACCTATTATTGGTATAAAAATATGTGGGTTTGGCAAGTCGACAACAACCAAAACTTGTTTTAGTGAGGTATGGATGCAAATATAATTGAATATAATTTTATTACTCAAAAATTATTATTCTTTAGCTTTTTAAATATTTTCTTATTTACTAATATCTTTACAAAATGGAGGTAAAATATGAAAAATAAAGTAAAATTTAACAAGCCAAGAAATAGCAAAAACAATCTTTTTAAGTAAATAATATTTTTTTTTTTTAATTAAACTAGTCTAACCAGTTAAACAGAGAAGAAAGTAAAATTATTCCAATTAATTTAAATACCTATTGAATTATTTAAAGATGCTTATATAATAAAAAAGAAATAAATGAAAACTAACCATTTGTATGTCAGGAAATAAACGAGTTATCCAAATTAATCCTTGATCACTTATGTTGGTGCACCCTAAAAATAAAAACAAAGCCTGTAGCAGTTACCAAACTTTTGTCACAGCCCTGACAACCCAGTTATGCACAGAAATCTAATGAGACTTTGACAGATTCAACATTTAAATTCAGACTTACCAACCATATTCAATTTTTTTAGATTTGAAAATTTGGGAACAGTTGTCATGCCGCCTCCATGCAAGTGTGCAAACAGGAAATCTGTCAGCTGGTCAATTCCATTCAGGTTCAAGGTCACCAGATCAGCAGAAAGGTTCTGCTGGATGATGATGGGCTGTCAAAAAGGTTTTGTCAAAGTACTTTAGAAAGGTAGACTACACCTCAAATTTGAATTAAGATATGTGCTTTTCGGATTTAAATATATTGGCTTAGACAAGAAGCATAATTAGAAAGAAAAGTATTTGTTTTGTAATATTATTATGTAATGTTATTATGAATATTTTATACTTTTTCTACTTTACATTTAAGTTGAACTATATGAAAATATTTTAAAAATTGAATATGAAATTTGTATTGGAAAAAACAGAGTAGGCCTACAACTGACAAAATAAGATGGCAATAGTTAAAAAGAAAATAAAAAAAAAAACATGCTTTTGTGAATAATACAGTTTTTTAAATGAATAAGCTTAAAGTCTGAACATCAATGGATGGACTAGGCTGCCGGTTAAAGAATTACTTCAAACAGCAGAAGCCCAAGAAAGAAGGTTAAAAGGAATGAAAAAGAAAATGCAGTGCCTCAGCCATCCCCTGGGTTATGGGATGACAGACTGATAGATTGGTAGAGATTACAACTACTTATGCAAAGGTCTTTGAGTCATATGATGACCTAGGTCCACCCAACTCTGATGGGCACCTGACTTAAATTAGTTGAAAAAGGCTTCAATAGTGTGCTGAATACACAAGCCCTTCATTTGATCTCTATATTATCTGACCTATGAATGAACCACCACCATGCTGTAAGGATACTAGTAATATTATTTTTTTAAATTTTCCTATACATACAAAAACAAATTGCATAATCTTTTTGATTTCAGTTTCTCTTGCAAATGACAATCACATCAATATAGATACTTTCAGCACTATTATTATTATGGTTACACAATTTTAACAGTACTCAGATTACCTTTACAATATGAATAGGACACAATTTTAACAGTACTCAGATTATCTTTACAATATGAATAGGACACAATTTTAACAGTACTCAGATTACCTTTACAATATGAATAGGTAAATACTCGGGTGGTATATTTCCTGATTTCTCAAATTCCTCCTCAAAAAGTTCTTTCCTTGAAAGAGTCACTGTGATAGTAGGAAATAGTTTTAACAACACACCATACAAGTTAGTGCATTAAATACTAAACTATGCAAGACTAAGTGATAGATCATGCACCAGTAATTGACATACTTTACCCACCAATCATCACAAAGGAAATCACCTTAAATATGGTAATAAAATTATAAGCTTGGCAACTGATTCATCAAGCCAAAAGAAAATAGGATTACATATTGCTCTATATTCCCTCTCTTGTCCCATATAACATAAATAAAATGACCAACCACTACTGTTTTTTATTACGTAATATTGCATGATATTCTGTTTCACAAACCTGGATTGTATTCTGAATGACGATCAACTTTCTTAAGCATTCTTTTTTTTATAAGCAAATCATCAGCATTGATAGGAGGTTTCTTTATTGTTACATCAGTAGATGGAGTCATTGCTTGTTGAAACATATCATACTTAACTCCCTTGTCTTGGTTTTGCTGGTTCAATAGGACAGAAATATCAGGTGCAGCAGATGGTGTCAAAGGGGATACAGTGTCTTTGGATGTTGATTTGGGGCTCTCTATGTTGGCCATTGAGGATCCTTCAGATGAAATACCTTTTTGTTTTGTTGAGTCTTCATTAGCAATTTTCCTTCGAGATTTGTGAGAATCTCTTTTCTTTTTTTCATGCCTTACATCAGTTTTAGGGTGAGTCTTTCCATCAGTTTTTTCAATGCTTTGGATATTTTCAGGCTCCATTCTAGCTTGATTAGCTGCTATTTCTTCAGGTGTTTTATTCAAGCTGTAATAGATTGAGATAATCTTGAGTGATGTCCCTTACATGTTTATGTGTATTATGTGTCTCTCGTCACTTCCTCTCTTACCATCATGGCGTCTGTAAATAAAGGCTGTTAACACCAATGTGGCTTCCTCGTCAATCTATTATATTGGCGACGAAGGATAAACATCTACTAGAAAGAGCACCTACTTACGCAAAAAAGAGGTTTGCTAGAGCTTATTAGCTAATTATTTCTAGAATTATGGCGCTGTATGGCCAAATAAATCAATTTGATGCGAATGATGAAATCATTCAAGATTACCTAGAGAGGTTAAGCTTTTACCTAGAAGCAAACAACGTGACGATAGAAGCCAAAAAGAGAGCTATTTTGTTAACAGTCATAGGGCCTCAACAATTTAGGCTACTAAAGGACTTATGCGCACCAGCTAGTCTAATTACCAAGAGCTTTAACGAGCTGAGCAAATTGCTAACAGACCACCATGCGCCTACCCCATCAAAGTTTCTATGTCGAGCTAGATTTGACAGTAGGACTCGTCAACCAAACGAGTCAATATCAGAATATGTTGCTGCTTTACGTCATTTAAGTGAATTTTGTGAATTTGGAGACACGCTGTCTGACAGACTATGTGAAAAGTTTGTGACAGGTGTAAACAGTCCTGATGTTCAAAGAAAGTTGCTGCTCGAATCAGATCTAACATTGGAAAAAGCAATACAACTTGCAATGTCATTCCAGCAGTCATCAGATGCGGCGAGATCTTTAGCACCTTCAGAGATCCATGCAGTAAACAGCAGGTTAGTCAATAAACATCAACCCCATCAGAGCATTCCAACTTATGCTAAACAGCCTGCTCGTTCAAATCCTAGATCTAAATCTAGTAATAATTATCAAAAATGTCATCGATGCAAAGGTCCCCATGCATCTCATCGGTGCAAGTTCAAGTCTGCAACTTGTTATAAGTGCGGTAAGCAAGGTCACATTGCCAAGGCCTGCTTTGCAAAGTCTTCGTCTGTTGCTAAATCTAGCCAGTCAAGACAGTACCGCAACCAAAAGCAGCACTATGTTAACTCTCACCAAGACTACCTAACCCAACCAATGAACCACTCTACCTGTGAAAATGCTCAAATTGATTTGCAGCCGGATTTCAACCTGTTCTCTGTTAAATCAATAAGTCATGCTCCCATCAATGTACAAGTTTATATCAACGGTAAGAGCATCAGCTTCCAACTTGACACTGGAGCATCTCTAACAATTATAACAAAGAAAGATTTTGACGCTGTCACAGAAGGATCAGTGCCTCTACAGCCATGTCACAAGTGTCTAACAACATACACTGGTGACAATGTTCCGGTAATAGGAGAGTGTATGGTTCATGTAAATTATAATGGTCAAAGTGTTAAACTTCCTCTTCTTGTGGTTGAAGGAAATGGACCGCCATTACTAGGTAGGAACTGGTTAAGTGATCTTAAGTTAAATTGGGAGAGTATTTGTTCATTGAAGAATGTAAAAGAATCTAGTCTTACTTCACTAGATAAAGTTATATCTGAAAATAAATGTGTTTTTGGTAATCATGGATTACTAAATGATAGAACAGTGAAGTTAAGCATTAAAGATACAAATCCAAGATACTGCAAAGCTAGAGTTCCACCTTATGCAATGAGGAATAAAATTGAAAATGAGCTAAGTAGATTGGAATCTAATGGCATTATAAAGAAGGTAGACTATTCCGATTGGGCGACACCCATTGTGCCAGTGTTAAAGAAGGATGGTTCTATAAGAATTTGTGGAGATTATAAAACTACACTGAATAAGCAAATAGAGCTAAATAGGTACCCTATACCTAACATTGAGGAAATCTCTTTGAATTTGGCAGGAGGAGACAAATTCACTGAATTAGACTTTAGTCATGCTTACACTCAACTAGAACTGCATCCAGATTCAAAAGTCTATACGACAATAAACACACATAAAGGACTCTACCAATATGAAAGACTATGTTTTGGCATATCATCTAGCCCTGGAATTTTCCAAGCTGTCATGGACAGTATTTTTAAGGACATTCCAAATGTTTGTGTGTACTTTGACAATGTGTACATAACTGGTAAGAATGACACTGAACATCTTAAAACACTAGATAAAGTCTTGAAAATTGTTGGCGAAAAAGGTTTAAAGATAAACAAAGATAAATGTCAATTCATGCTGACAGAAATTAGTTTTCTTGGTTATATATTAAGCAAGCAAGGCATCAGACCTCAACCTGAGAAAACAAAAGCCATTAAAGAAGCACCCAAACCTGAAAATACCCAACAACTAAGAGCTTTTTTGGGCTTAATAAATTACTATGCAAAGTTCATAGGAAATCTGTCTGGTAAATTATCACCACTGTACAAGCTGCTACAGAAAAATGCAACTTGGCACTGGGGTAAACAACAAGATACTGCTTTTAATACAGCAAAAGAGGCTTTGTCTGCTGACACCTTACTAACTCACTATGACCCAGGGAAAAGACTTGTATTGACATGTGATGCTTCACCAGATGGTGTAGGAGCAGTCTTGTCCCACATGGATGAGAAGGGTGACAGACCCATTGCTTTTGCCAGTAGATCTTTGAACCAGGCTGAGAAAAATTATTCTCAGTTAGATAGGGAAGGCTTAGGCATCATTTTTGGTGTTAAGAAATTTCATAAGTTTCTGTTTGGTAGGAAGTTCACCATCTTTACAGATCATAAACCATTGCTAGGTTTATTTGGAGAAAACAAAACCCTACCTGAGCATGCCTCACCAAGAATTCAAAGATGGGCTATCACACTAACTGCATACAATTATGAATTGAAATACAAACCTGGATCTGAGAATAGTGCAGATAGTCTTAGTAGATTACCTTTAAAAAACCAAAGCCTGAGCTATGTACCAGAAGATGTATTTGTTCTCTTCACTATCATGGATAACTCCAATATAAATGTGAATGATATTAAAAGAGAAACACAAAAAGATGAGTGCTTAATAAAAGTATATGAGTACTGTAAGAATGGTTGGCCTGAAGAGTCTGTGAATGATGACTTAAAGCCATATAAAATAAGAAATAAAACCCTTTGTGAAGATAATATAAAAGATGGAGAAGATGCAGTCCATTATCAGTCAGAGTTGCCTAAACAAAGTATTTGTAACTTAATAAATGATTATGGTGATATGGCAATTTCAAATGTTTTAAAGAGAATACATTAGTAAGAAGGAATGTGATCATCAAACAACTTTGCTAACATCATTAGCACTTAAAGAAACTAAAAGGGTAACATCAAAAGAAAAGAAAAAAGATTTTTGCCATTTAATACACCCATTTCAAATACTGGATCACAGTTGCAAAGTGATATGGTCCAGAATATTACTCATAAACAGTATTTTTGGTTACCAGGAAAGCACTATCAGATTACCTGAGGAAATTGATCAATCAAAGAAATCTATGTCAGTCAAGGATCTGAATAATAGCATAATACTTCCAGATGCCAATTCAAAAATAGTTCCATTAAATCATGACAAACATTCATTGAAAGAAAATTTGCAGTTAATAAGAATGTGTATCTAAGAAATTATGGGAGAAAGGAAAAATGGATACCAGGTCAAATTGTTCAATGTACAGGACCTGTGCCTTATACAGTTAAAAATAACTTGTGCAGATAATAAGTGTGAATCTGTCAATCCCACCAAATCTGAACAGTTCACATCAACTCAGTTGTCCACAACCAAGTTCTGTTGATATGAGTGAACCAAGTTGTCTGGAGTCAGAAAATGTAAATTCTGGAGTTAATGATTTAAATCCTAGACCTCCTGAGATAGAGAATCCAGATGGTCAGAATCTTGAGTCACCAAATCAAAAGCTACTGAGAAGGTCATGCAGGACAATCAAAGTCCCAAATAAGTTAGACCTATGATTTTAAAGGTCAAAAAGACTTTGACATCATTGTTTTGTATCTTGATTATGTTGTGGCATATTGTGCATTGTTTGTAAGGATGTAATCTACCATAGTGTTCATGTTACAATATAATTGGTGATTTCAGGATACTATCAATTGTTCTATTGAGAGATGTGTTATTGTGTTCTAAGGGTAAAGGGATGTAATAGATTGAGATAATCTTGAGTGATGTCCCTTACATGTTTATGTGTATTATGTGTCTCTCGTCACTTCCTCTCTTACCATCATGGCGTCTGTAAATAAAGGCTGTTAACACCAATGTGGCTTCCTCGTCAATCTATTATACAAGCCTTCTGCACTTTTTTGCATGTGTATAGTTTTTATTTTACGCTCATGTTTTGCAGTATCACTCACATCGATCACAGTATCTTTATTAGCTTTATCAGTAGTATTTGTTGCTGTAGGGTTTTCTTGTTTTTCGTGAGTTGCTAGAACTAATTCTTGTGTGTCTCTTGTAACTGATGAAGCAGGTCTGATTTCTGTCTTATTCTGTTTGTACATTTCAATTTTGTTTTCATTGGATTAGACTCAGATCTAAGATATTAATAATATTAGGAAAATATAAATTAAAATGTAAATTAAACATGGCCTGTTTAAATGAGATTGCTTTTATTATTCAAATTTATTGTTTTGGATGTTGCTTATATATAGCAATGGGACATGATGGCCTAGCAGTAGAGCACTAGGATGCTAACCGGAAACTCTCGAGATTGAATCTGGGTTAAAGTCAGTAGACCATCAGTGAGTTCACCCAACTCTCATGGGGAAACTAACTCACATTACATTAGGGAAAGTAAAGTCAGCTGGGCATAGTGCTGACAACATTATCCATTCATATGCAGAGGTCATAGAAACAGGTGAACTCTACTTCACTGGCCCTATGGACTGTGTTGAATTAGAAAAGGGAACTTCACTGTATTTAAACAATGATTGTATAAAGTTAAAGTATAATACTAATACGTTATTAATATTAGACATTATTAGATCTAGAATTCTAGATTCTAGATCTAACCTAACCTAATATAATATATAAATTTAAAATTAAATCATTAGGCCTATGATTCAATCATTATCATTTAATATCATTGATTGCAGATTGATTGAGTGAGCAAGATCTTGACTAATGACTTGAATAATTATTAATGAATAATCTCGCCAATCTGGTTTTACTTCTAGTGTCTTCTAGTATAGAATTCGATCCATCAATTTAGGTCTAGATTTTCTAGATTTTAGAATCTAGATCTAGAATCTAGATTCTAGACTCTCTAGATCTAGATCTAGATTTATTCTAATCATGATTTAGATTCTAAATCTTTAGTTCAACTGATAAAGTTAATAGAATCTAGATCTAGAGCTAGATTCTAGGTCTAGAAACTATTTTGAAAAAAAAAATTGAAATTTTGGCCTACAGAGAAACATTTCCATTCGTAGTTAAGGCAACTGAAAATTGTTTACATTAGAATGGTCTGACTATTTACCGAGACATAGATCTATAAGAAGTCTGCCACGCTACTCTAAATACCGGCCACTACTGAAAAAACACGTCATTTGATAAATTAACTTTATTTTTCGCATGTCCGATTTCTTTACAGGTTCAATAATATTAGAGTGCTAGAATGCTAACCCAAAAGTCTTGAGTTAGAATCTTAATTCAAATCATTTGAATGTCACTGAGTCCATCCAACTCTGATATCCATATCTGATATTAGGGAAAGAAAGTAATTTTTTGCAAAGTTCTGACCACATTATCCTCCTGTATGCTAAGATCATTGAAACAGGTGAACACTACTTCATCTGCCCCCTATATCCTTAGCACATATGGGAAAATATTTACATTTATCATTGACTTTTAATGGGCTTCATAAGTAGGCCTACTAAATGTATTCTTCATAGTGGGCAACTGCTAATAAAAAAGCGCCATTAGGATGAAAAACTTTAGGCTAACAGTTAGCTTATATCATCACTACTCCATCAACTACATGATACAGAAAATACACTTTAAACCAACAAAAGCATAGGGATGAAGATTCCTCTCCAGAGCTTATGTTGTGTGCTAGTGAAAGCCTTTGGAAAGCCAGTGAATCAACAATCTGGTGACTAAAGAAAAAACCAGAATAATGACTTGTAAGAGATGAACCTTTCATTGCTCTCCCTTCAAGTAGCAAGGGAAATGAGACGGATCCAAACATCATGATTCTTGGCTTATGTGAAACCTGCTTGAATCAAAGCAGGCAGACCTGGCTATTAGCTGAAGATATAGTAAAGTAAGTAAAGTTACCCTTTTAAACCTGACGGTCTATGGGGCAAGCGAAGTAGAGTTCACTTGTTTCTGTGACCTCGGCATATGAAGAGATAGTGTGGTCAGCACTATGCCCAGCCACCTTTACTTTCCCTAATGGGAGTTAGGTACCCATCAGAGTTGGGTGGACTCAGGGACGGTCTACTGATTTGAACCCGGATTCGAACTCGAGACTTATGGGTTAGCAGTCCAGCTCTCTACCGCTAGACCACTCCGTCCCACTAGCTGAAGATATAATCAGTAACTAAGGTCACAGACATACAGGGTGTTGCACTAATAATGGCACTAAATGTTATAAAAGCAATGCAACTGGTAGCTGCTGGGAGCGACTTTCAGAGGTAGATCACTTCACATATTGGCAAGAATAAGGACACTTTACGTGTATAAGGAATCTAATAAGGACAGAGCGTGGATCAGGACATGAAAAGCAGAATCAGCGAGGCAAGATATGCAGGAAACCATTCCACTACACAAAATGCTGAAAATAGTGTGGAGTGTAGGCAATATTCCTTGCAGCACAGACCCACACCATTTGGAGTAATATTTCCATTAACAGCAGCATATATTTGTAACATAAACGCACATATGTATTTGCATCAAAATGTAGCTGAATCAACTGAAAGTTTATCTCTTAAACTAATCAGCCTCCATCCTGTAATTTAGATATTTTGGACGGTGATTAACTCAATGTATAGAATTTCCATTTTCAGCATTCCCATACAAAAATTTGAATATATTTTCAGCTAAAACCAATGATAGCAATATTGGGTGGTTATGACTGTAAGATGAAATAACCAAGTATTTTTTTCTTGGCCAACATAATGTTCTTGCAACTAAACACAGTGCACATCAAGAATTCAAAATGGGGAATACCATAATCTTGATAAAAGAACACGAACCAAAATAATATTTTGAGTTATCTCTCTTTCATTAAGGCTTTGTTGAAAATGTCCATTTTGGGAGTTATTAAATATTGATATTCAGTAATCAACACATTAATAAATCAAAACATTTGCTTGCAAATAAAACAAAGGCAGATTTAGTATGAATGACTTGTATTTGAGCATAGCAGATAAGGGAAAAGTTTTATTTCTTTAATTTGTACAATAAAAACATCACATCGAAATAAAACAACACATTATTGTAAATGAAAACATTAAATAAACAATAAAGGCAGATCACTGAAACAAAATTATAATTCAGTTTACATGGCTTAAATAAAATATGAGGCTATTAATTTATTATGGTAATTCCCGATTGGAGATCAAAAACTAGTGAGCGAGTAACTAACATAAAATATAATGGGTGATTCATGGAGCAATTTTTTGTAAAAGAAAAAAAATATTCTACAATGTGAATACTAGCTTTATACACAATATTACATTTCATAAATGTGTAGTTTAGTGTAGTTTTTCATGCTATAAAACACTCACTGTTACCCTGGAGAATTAATTTAAAAGCAACAATTTTGGCTGTATGTGATCGATAGGAATATTTTGTAAATGAAAAATTATTCTACAATGTGAATGATAGCTCTATACACAATATTACATTTCATAACTATGTAGCTTAGTGTATTTTTTCATGCTATAGAACACTCACTTTTACCCTGTAAAATTAATTTAAAAGCAACAGTTTTGGCATTATGTGATGATAGGAATTGCGACAACCCCTTGCTCTATGTACAGTTTATCTATTATGGATAAGACCAGAATTAAAATATTATCAATCTAAAGATGTAGATACAATAATTACAAATATCAAAGATAAAAAAATAGTCAAAAAACATATTATGTCACAGACATACAATTGTAAGTAGGTACATAACAGTAGTTAAAATAACATCTAGCAACAAGATTGATTGAATACATCATAAAATATGGCAGTTTTGTTTTATACATTAAATAGTTCATTTTCAAATTTAAATAGTTCATTTTAAAGTAAAATAGTTAATTTTTTCACAAAGGAGAAAGTTTCTAAAGATGTACATAATGAAGATGCAAACTTCATTAAAAAAAACATTGTAAGTAATTTAGGTAAATATATATGTAAGTTCAAACCAAGGTTGACAGAGAATGATGGTTTGTCTTTGACTGTTTATTCACTGTTAGAAAATTCTAAAACAAACATGACAATAAATGGGTTTCTCATTTTTCGTTCCATGGATACAAATACTGCTTTTTCTATTATTCAAAATACTGTTTATAGTTAAACATATATATAAAAAAGGCTCTGCTTTTGAACAAAATACTTTATTTCTTGTAATAAATACTCTGAAAAATATGAGTATAATCAAGTGCAAGCTTGCGTACAAAATATTAAAAACATATTAATTGCAGTGTCAATTAATTAGGCCTACTTGCAGAGCTGACAAGCAGTAGTTCTCATATTGCCATTTAAAGCCTTATGGTAATCCCACAAAAAAATAATTACACTAATTACAATGTCATTGATAATTCAATAATAATAGAAACCTTTCCTTTTGAAACATTTTAGTGACTAAAACATTTCATGTTCCAATTTTTGTATTAAAAAAACTCGTAAGTTTGAATTTTAACATTAAAAAATATTTCAAATCATCTCTCACACTAGCAATATGATATTATGGCAACGGCGCATACTCTTTTAAAGACTGACTATGTGATAAAAAATTTGCTAATATCTTGGTTATTCGGAATGATTGTTTTTGCGCATTAAATGAAGCTTTAGAATAATACATGGTTTCATACAAATGATTCTATTACTTAAAATTAAGTAACTGTTTTGATAATTGTGGTAGAATTTGATTCTGTCATGTATGACTAGTTAAAAGCAAATGAATATTGAAGATTTGTACATAAAAAATAAAATATCACATACAAATTATATGAAACTGGCCAAGCTTTCTATCAAGTACACAGGAATCTGTAAGTACAAAGTTAAAATAAACTTTGTTTTTAAGTTAAGCTGGTGGGTGAAATGACAGTGAAATGAAAAACAGAAACCTAATTTACAGAAATGCATTTTTAATGAAGACATTTTTTCTTTTGAAAATTTAACTAAGTATGCTCTAAACCAGGGGTCTCCAAACTACGGCCTGCGTGCTGAATGCTGCCCGCGAGGTCCTCTCATCCGGCCCGCAGAAATCTTTTTGTCCAAGGAAAAATCGTTTGTTGGTGATGGCTGAGGAAGTTTGCCCAGAAAAATCAAAGACATGCCTGGAAGAAACTGGCCCCCGAACTGAAATTCGATGGTTAATGCGGCCCTCGGACTGAAAAGTTTGGAGACCCCTGCTCTAAACTAACAGTAACATAGTTTAAAGAAATGTATTTTCATTGGAGATATTCTTCCTTCGAAATGGGGAAAGTGAGCGTAAGTTTGAAGATTTGGTGCCTGCCTTGTGATCAGGTGACTTAGACCGTGACCTTGACTGTGGAGATTTAGACCTGGACCTGACATGCTCAGCTACTGTACTCATGTGAACATTGCTGTGAGACCTGAAGATATGGACAGGTGGATCCAGGTATTCGACTGAGGGAAGCCGCCTCATGTGAGCAGGTCGACGTGAGAGATTGTCAAAACTCTGAGACAAGTGTAAAGGCTTGGCAGGCTGCAGGCGGGACATGTTGATAGCGCTATGAGAAACAGGAAAAGGCTTTGACGGCTGTAATCTGTTGTGTTCAGTCACATGACTGCAGAATGGCACATGCCCGCCAGGTGGACCATGCCTTGCAGTGCTATCCTGGTCAAGATGCATGTCAGACTTGGCCAAGTGCTCCCTAGTGTTTGGAGTTAAAGGCATCACATTTAAGATTTCATTATCCTCAGAAACATTTATCACAATACCTGTTGAATTTTTACTCAGAGCTGACCTGCAGAGTTCCCTGAGTGACTCAGTACTATTAGAGATGTGTCTTTTCTTTTCACTATCTTCACAGACAAAAGCAGATTGTCTATGAACTGATGTGAAATCTGTAAACTCCTTATGAATATTTGCCACTAAATTTTCTATTGTATTAAATTCCTGATTTTTACTATCGACATTTTTATTTTCAATATCCTTATTTGTAGATAAGACACCAGCTTCAATGTCCAGAGAATTAGATATTTTCTCAGCCTCTGGTTTAGATTTCTTGCGAGGTTTCCTTTTACGTTTGTGATTTGTGTGTTTGATTTTCCCATTTTGATGTGAATTAGAGTTCGGACCAGAATGACCATTACAAGTTTCATCTTCTTTATCATCCTGGTTGTCCAAACTGGATGAGTTTTCTGTAAAAACGTCATCGCTGACATCCGATAAGCTGTCGTTGTTGTTGTCGTTGTCAGATTTTCTCTTCATCTGGTCGTCACTGCTCTTGATCCTCTCACACATTAACCCAAACATGACCTGCCCTGGACCTGCCAGCGCTGCAGTTATCTCCCCACTTTTCTTTGCCTGCTCCTGCAGTCTTTGCATGCGGTCTAAGAATGGACTGCCTTCTCTCCCCTCTGTCCCTCGCCTGACGCTTACAATTTTACCACCTTTCATTATAATTAAATCCCCATTGCGATGAACAACACTTTGAGCGTTGGACTGTCGAGTTGACCTCAATAATTTAAATAAACTTTTTTGACGAGCTGCTTTGAATCGCCCTCCGCCTTCTGATGGACTCATGGGCTCGATATTGACGTCATACATGGATGTGACAGTGTTGCGACGCCCTGAACTGACAGAACTGCCACGACGTAAAGTTGATATGATGGATGACAACCTGTTGGTTCTGGAGACTTGCTCAGAGTCTGTGGGAAAAGAAAAAACAAAGTTTACATTTTTAGCAGAGACAATTTTAAGTCACAAAAAAACAGATCTTTTGTGCATTGGGAGTGAATGTTAATGAGATCATTTAGATAAAATCATAAAATAAACATTTCAAATTACAACATAATAAATTTTTTGATTGAAATTAATTAGAAATAAATATTATATGTAGAATGTATTAATAATAAATTAGATCCACTAACATATAAACAATAAGAAAACAGAGTAAATTTTAATAAATTAGAATGTTAGAAATCTCTTATGAATGACATAAAAAATAATTTTGAGTCTTTGCTTTAGAAATAAGCTAGTATTTACAACAATTTTAGTGCTCTATTTAAAAAACAAATGGTGTACAACTAAAGAAAATAGAAAGCACAACATTACTACCCCAACCAAATTAAATGAATCCTAAGCAAAATAAAAAGGAATCTTTGTTTAAAATTATTGTAATAAGATAAAAAGGTAGGTTTCATCTTTTTCTAAAACAAACAAATAAAATTAACAAAATAACAGAAAGAGTCTACAACTCTAGATCTAACAATACAAAACAACAGGGTTGGCTTCTGTGTGATATCTAACCTAAAACTGTTGATAAATGGTTGGTCATGTAATTTTAACATGCAGGGTATGGTAGGGGAGGTGAGAGGCAGCAAAAAATTGGCTGTGGTGGTGCTTTAGCTGGTAGGAATTGGAGAAAACCTCTAGAACTCTGGGTGCTACTACTGTGACAAAGCACTCTCAAACAAATAAGTTTTTACCAGAATGTAACCAGAAACATCTTTAATGACATACATTCAAATTGAAAACTAGTAACACAAGCCAGCAGTTTAAAAATTCAAACTAGTTGGTTTAGAGTGACCTTTCCTTGCTCAATCTATGGTGTAGTTGATCAACATTAAAAAAAATTCAGCATGTGAAAGCAGAAAGCTTCAACCAGTCCAAAGCTTCTTAAACTGTTTCCCCTCCCAATTGTTACACACAATTTTTAGGAATGAAAATAAAAAGTGTAATAAATATTAATTTTGCCAGATAAATTTGCCTGTGGTGACCTGTTGTTTAAAAAGCCTTGGATTTGACCAAAATGTTTAACAAAATAATAATCAAACAGCAAAAACACTGGTAAGTCAACAGTAGATTAACAAGAAATTGTCTACAACTAATAAAATATGTAGCAGAAAAACATATAACCTCAAATATGGTATAAATTAAATTGTCTACATATTTAAACTTAAAAGAGTCATAATTACGTAAATAAAATAGAAAGAGGATACCATTAAAGATAAAAAGGTGTAGGCTACAATTATGCTCAACTACAAAATAAATTTAAACTAAATAGTGGCAGGTAATTATTTAATTGAAGAAAAACAATAATACATTGCATTAGACATCTCATAAAATCACTATGGTTAAAGTGTTAGGTTATGTTTTAAATCACAAAATTAAGGTTTATAACTTTCTTGATCTAAATTTAAAACCAAATTAAGTTTCACTTTGTTTTTTCAATGCAACAAAACCAAAAGTATAACACAGTCCTCTAGTTGGTGTAAAGAGTAAATTTTAAGCTACAATGACAGCTAAACTAAGCGTAGAACAAAATGTGTCATATCAAAATGCACAAACACATAACATAGCCCATTGACTAAAAACAACAGAAAACAAAACCCACAGGCACTTTAACATAACCTTTAACAACAGCATGACACACAACTCCATATCTATAACATGCAAGCTGTCAGCCAACCAAGCACACATACAAACATATATGATGCAACTGCATTATGACCTTCAACCTATTTAATAGGAAACTAGTGAAACATTTTCTTCTTCACATACTGCACTCTAGCTCTCAACAGTATTAGCATGGGGGGGGGAGGAAGGGGGGGGCAATGTGCAGTAGAGTAGATAATTTAAAACTGGATTTAAAAGAATTCTAACCAACAGTTCTAGAAATGGTTTTACTACACTTCCAAAAAAAATCTCATGAAGTATCCACCTCTCACAATATGGCCCATACATTATATCCAAATAATTATAGTATTTAGTGTGATTACAACATCTTTTTGGTCTGAACCTCAAATGAGTAAACCATTCGTGGTCAAACTATTTTAAAACATTGAAAGGCAATAACTTCTGAGGATATGACAAGGATACACTGGGAATAGGGATAAGATGGCAGATACATCAGGATATGGATTGGATAGCCGATATATTGAGATACAAATCGGATAGCAGCTATATTGGGATAGGGATCTGATATCCAATAAACTGGGAGAAATTATATTAGGCCTATATGCTACAATATGGGTAGGCCCTCTATTTAATCAGTAAAAATTAAAGTTATGCTACAATAAGGGTAGCTCCTCTATTTAATCAGTAAAAATTAAAGTTATGCTACAATATGGGTAGGTCCTCTATTTAATCAGTAAAAATTAAAGTTATGCTACAATATGGGTAGCTCCTCTATTTAATCAGTAAAAATTAAAGTTATGAGACAGCCTTGGAGAGAAGCCAGGATACTATTCTAAAAACTCACATTCAGGCAACTCCAAGCAATATTTATGTTCCAATACAGGAAGTTGTCAGGGGCAAAGTTTTACTTCGTTTTGGCAGGATTTACGGGGAGTCTTGCAGAATTACCCTCATTGGCTTTGGCAGGTGGGAAGGGTGGGGGTTGGAGCCAGGGAAAGGGGAGAGAACTGAGATAATATCCCTTCTTCTTGGGTGATTTACTGCTGAATTGTTTTAAAAAAAACAACATGGCAATTAGGGCTATACTTGAACAAGTAATGGAGTTTGAAAAGATGGTGGTGGGTGAATCCTAAAGAAAGTTGAAAATAAAGTCTGTTATTTTTAATCAGCGTAACACGGAAAGTTGCAACTTGATTAAATATTTAAAATTAAAATATAAACAGCTTTCAATCTTTTAAAAATTATTAGAAATAGGTGTCTTTGCAAACATAAACACATATTTTATAGTCGTATGTTAGTTTAAAATAAAGCTCATGATGGACTGGTGAGATTTTTGGGTCGTCGTGATGGGTAAAAGTAGGATGCCTCCAACTTCGTTTCTAATTATATATACTGATTAAGAAACTTACAATGGCATTAAGATAAGCACGCCTTGTTTAAAACACATATACCCCCCATTTATATGTTGTCAAATAATATTAGACTATTTAGGTGAAATAAAAAATAAAAATCTGACTACGGGAATGAAACAAATGCAAACATGATCAGCTTGAAACAGTGCACCAGAATCATTAAAACAATAGTAAGACAACAGCAACTTGAAAGTTTCGATAAAAAGGTAGGAACCATCAACAAAAATGTAGGTTTTTCCTAACAATAGGTGCTTCATAGCTAACAAGCAACTGTGATATGGCATGCCTAAAAATGTAGACTCTTGAACAAAATTAGATGAAGAAATCAGTCTACAAGGATGACATATTTCATACTATGCATTAAACATGGCAAGGTTCTCAAAGTTTGAAACTATAGGGCCTAAATATATTGAATGCTGTACACATTTTCCATTTAACTCACATTTTAAAAAATAACGATTTAAAACTTTAAAATTGAAATTTTAGATTTTGGTGAGTAATTTGTTTTTCTAAAGCAGGCGATGCTAAATAGAACAATAATTGCGAGTCTTTTATATTACAACTATGGTTGGTCTACCATAGCAAATGTTAGTTATGTGACAATGTGTTAAAACAAGAACAGCAGGCACGCAAGAAACCAAGTCACCTTGATATATGGCAGTATGTTAGACAAGAACAGCAGGCACGCAAGAAACCAAGTCACCTAGTAGTATGTCAGTGTTAGACAAGAACAGCAAGAAACCAAATCACCTAGTAGTATGACAGTGTTAGACAAGAACAGCAAGAAACCAAATCACCTAGTAGTATGACAGTGTGTTAAAAAAGAACAGCAAGCACACAAGAAACCAAATCACCTCTCATCAGAAAGATCACTGGAGCTGTGTTGGCCAGTGGCGTAAGGATACACCAAGTTAGCTGGATGTCCATTGAAGATGCTGGTAGTAAGATCAGAGACTTAGGGTTAGTTTCATTGGGGCGGACTAGCTTTGTGCATTCATAAACTGTCTTTTAAATTGGTTGTGTATACCTTTTTTAATATTTAGGCTGTTTAGGTTGTTTGTTTTTCACTTTTCACTTAGCGAGGATAGGAAAAAAATACTAACCCGAAGGGATATAATATTAAGTATGAAGTAGAGTTCACCTATTTCTGTGACCTTATCAGACTTATCATATGAAGAGATAAGAGTGGCAAGGAGTATGCCCAAGTAGTGAGGCGTGAGACGAAGAATTTTTTTACTATGTCACCAGAAGAATGGAAAGTGTTGCAAGTTTCAAAAGAATCAGATGTACATGTAACAGTTAATTTATAGGAACTCGTCAAGTTAATAGTCAAGTTTGTACTGCTAGTAAACAAAAGTAATTCTCTCACATTCTCAAGTTCACTAATGTTTTTGTAAAGCCACCTAAAAAGCATTGTGCTTTCTACATTTACATTTATAGGGTGTATAGGGAGGGAGGTGGGGGGGTGTAAATTCTACGAGGTAAATGTGTTCACCTAAGCTCTTTGTGGTCAACACGACGTAGCTGGTCAGCGCTTGCAGATATCCGCCTGTCCGGTGCACCGTTGGCCAATCTGATGGCAGTAAATCCAAAAATCAGAACAAATCAACATTCATCCGGCCACTAATTCAATGCCACAAGATTAAAAACTTAACTCAATCCTAACGAGACAAATGCAATTGACATTAGTCCTGATTAGAAACATTTGAAATGCAATTTAACAATAACACTTTTAAAATCTCTGTTCAATCGAGTTTTTTTTTTAATTCTTATTTTAAATTGAAGTGTTTTAAACTTTAAAAAAATAAAGCAATGAGTTATTACAAAACTAGAAACTTGACTTATCCTAAAGAAAAACTTAAATGTCTGCACATTAAAGTAAGTTTTTACACAATCGATTAATTTTCACATGCTTAGTGTTTAGAACTGACAGATGGGCTACTGTATGCCCAGTATGACAGATGGGCTACTGTATGCCCAGTATGACAGATGGGCTACTATATGCCCAGTATAACAGGCTACTGTATGCCCAGTATGACAGATGGGCTACTGTACGCCCAGTATGACAGATGGGCTACTGTATGCCCAGTATGACAGATGGGCTACTGTATGCCATTATCAGGTTACTAGATGCCCAGTATGACAAATGGGCTACTATATGCCTAGTATAACAGGCTAATGTATGCCCAGTATAACAGGCTAATGTATGCCCAGTATAACAGGCTAATGTATGCCCAGTATAACAGGCTAATGTATGCCCAGTATAACAGGCAACTGTATGCCCTGTATGACAGATGGGTCACTGTATGCCTAGTATAACAGGCTATTGTATGTCCAGTATAACAGGCTACTGTATGCCCAGTATGACAGGCTACTATATGCCCAGTATGACAGATGGGCTACTGTATGCCCAGTATGACAGATGGGCTACTGTATGCCTAGTATAACAGGCTACTGTATGCCCGGTATGACAAATGGGCTACTATCTGCCAGACGGGCTACCGTAGTATAACAGATAGGCTGTTGTGTGCCAAAAGAATATCTAAACTATGTTTTATGAACTTAAAGTATTCAACGACAAGAATGTTAAATCATGTTTGACTCTATCAGGTTAGCAATGGTTAGTTTAACAGCCAAAAAAACAAGAAAAAAAAACTTCATAAATTATAGTTGTAGCTTAAGCTCCATAAGGGGCAGCACTCCTGTAGGAGAGGTAGGGGAGATAACCTAATGAAACAAAGTTTACTCAAGCAAACAACTATCTAATTCGCCATGCAAACAAATTTCTAGACTGGTTCTACGGCAACAAATTATAGATCTAATATCCAACGCGTTGAACTTTTTTGTGTCCTGTTCCCTACAGTCACACTCGCGGTGACGTCATAAACTCCCATTGGCATCACAGGGCGAGGCGGCTGTCAAGTCCTGTACGAGACAATGGCGCCATTCACAGAATGGACGCTGTGCTCTTGTAGGACCGTGATTATCATCGATCTCATCAGAGCTGCAGACCGGGCACTGGTCATAACTCGCGATTGATCACACTGTCGGGTCTATTTATAGCTGGAGAAAAACTAATCTGGGATTAGGGTTAAGAGGGTTGGGGCTACGTGATTAGAACTAGGTGGGGGGTGGGGGGGGGGTTGGGTGCGCGTATTTTTGTAATATAAACAAGATTTTCCGTATTGCACATCTAGTGAGATTGTTTATGGCAGGGAACTGGAACTCATCCCTTTAAAGTACGTGCCATAAAATCTGCGATAAAGGCCCTATTTCTCTCGGCAAACATTGCCTGGTTTAGTACTGTTTGCGCCTGGTCTAGTCATGGGAAGAGCGTGTTCAAAATATTTTGGGAAAGGAGTCTATTTCTATTGTATGATGTAGATTACGTAGGTTTAAGCGGATCGCGTTTTTAATGTGTACAACGTTGTTTCCTTCTTTGAATAGAAGAGGCCCACATTTTATGAGCAGCGTAGATCAGATATGTAGATCAGATCTTAGATAGTTTCTAGAGATACGGCTTGAAGATGAGTCCCAATATGATATTGAGTTCCAAGAATTTTCGGATAACTCCACAAGAAAGAAACCAGGCGTTAAATCATAGCTAGTATAATCTAACGGGTAGCCGAATATAATTTTAGAAAGTAATAGTCTCAAGTCAAATAAAATCAAACAAAAACCTATCAAAACAAACTCCATGCAACGGATTTTGTTACTCTATTTGGTTAGAAACAGTAATTGATGCAACAACAAAAAAATATAATCAACGTTAAAACAAGGATAGTATTAGTTTTTCTTTTTCTTTTAAATAAACATAACAATGTTAGAAAGAAAGTAGAATGCAGACGATTGGCTATGCAACAACCGGAAACACGTGGTTCACCTAAGCTTGTTAACATGGCGGATGTAGAGCTGATCCGCGCTAGCGGATTTGAACTTGAGACGCCGATCTGTCAAGTCCCGACCAACACTGAAGATACAGACAGGTCATGGTGACCCAGAGATGCGTTACATACAGGCAGAGAGCAATATCTACACACAACTTAGTTCTAACTTCGTTGACTTAATGAATAAACGAGCTCTTCATTAAAGTATTGATGCAACTTTTAAATTTGTAGTGTATTTTTTTAAAAATTAATTATTATAAAATATGTATTTAAATTAGCCTAAATGGGTGTACAACAAAAAAAGTCTAGGTTTTCATGTTCTTGAAAGGAGATAAGACACGTATACTAGAGGACAGTCAGTTAATATTCTAATGTCATGACAGAAGAGAAGAAGTATTCTCTGCTTGAAGAATATCAGAGGTACCATTATCTGCTTAAGGGGGAAAAATAGAGACACGATTCTCTCGGTGTAAAGTGATTCACATTCGTACCAAAAACAGTGTTTCTTCCAGACATTTTTCTTCAGGGGGGGTTGGGGGGGCTTTTGAAATTTTCGGGGGCGGGGGGGGGACGGACTAAAATTTCCCGGGGGGGGGGGAGGGGCGGACACTGTTAAAAGTATATATTTCCTATATAAATTCCATTTTGTTCGTGGGGAGGGGCAGCATTCTTTCGGAAGGGGAGTTGTTCTGCCCCCCCCCCCCCCCACGAAGAGATGAGATGCCTGGAAGGAACTATGAGGAAAGTTCTGTTCACTAGCGACTTGTCCACCTACTATGGTAACCGACAACCAGCAGAAAACATGAAAACACTACTGCTAAAAGTAATTAAAAAGCACAAAAAATCTATTATAAGCGTTTAAAGTGCGAGGTTTAATTCCACTTGAGTACATTGTCTAATATGAAATTTAAACTGAAAATTACCAATTAAATGAAGAGCAAATAACTAAGGTAATGACTAAAAAATTGTAACAAAATGTCAATATCTAATGAGTCTATAAAAGTTTAATGAGCTAATTTTTCAACAAACAATACGTCTCGCCGAATGTTGTTTTTTTTTTTTAAGTCTGGAATTGTGTTGACTGAAGGGATGTTAAATAATGAACTCCGGCCAAGATTTTGATGAAATTTGAGGTGTAGAAAAAAAACGAATTTAAACCTTCCTTAATTGAATAAAAAAAACGAATTATTTTAATAACTATTACATAAACAAGAGTCATGCTACTCACTTGAAAAAAAAACTAAACTCATTGCAAACACAATGTATATACATACATTATTGCTGCTTAGAAAAGTACTTTATCTTCAGTTCATTTTATTACATAACTGCATGTTTGTATATTTTTCGACATATTATCAAATAAATTTAAGAATGAAAAAAAAATCGAGAATAGAAAATTAAGAGTTAAACAAAGGCTACTTATGGAAATATATACAAGCACTTCTCATATGAGTACACAAGAAAAAGACTTCAGTCATGTACTGTGTCATTTAACACCGATGTGTAGGCAGAGCACTCTCCAGAGATGGAAAGTAAATATAAAGCAACAGACTCGGGTTGTCGCCCTTTAATTTCATCCTTAAAAAAAATTCCTCGAGTATTAATTTTAACCAACGGTGTTTTATATCATAGTTACAAGTTCACTTTTGTCTGGGTTTATAATTTATATGTGTGGGGTGTGGACTAAATTTAAAATTATTACAGTAGAACTAGCCCAATGATTACTTCAGTTTCTGGACGTTTCAAAGACTGACAACTAGATCTAGTAGAGTGCAAAGACGACAGAGACATCCTGGCCTGCTAACAAAACCAAGTACTGTAAAATTTAACACTGGCTGTACTAGTATAAATACAAAAACATATATTACAGTCTATTCCAAACGTAATTATACATAGCATTTGCATATTTAGTCAGGACTTTTTGCGATCTGAATTAGTGCGAGTATATATATATATATATATATATATATATATATATATATATATATATATATATATATATATATAGTGATAAAACTAGTTATAACCCAGCAAAACAAACTACATTTGAGACACCAATGAAACGCTAGAGACGACAAAACAACTGCCATGTGATACTATCATCGACTAGATACGTGCTCAAGTATGTGAATCCAAACAGACGAAAACAATACATGCCCAAAAGGAAGTCCTCCTTTCCTTTTTTCTTCACTATAAAGAGAACGAAAAATCAGAGAATAAAGTGCGCCATCATTGTAAGTATAACGTTACTAGAACTAAAATATTAAAGAAGATATCATTAAAGTTACACGGATAATTCACAAAGGTCTCTAAATCATATTTTGTAGTCACTTGTCATAGCTGTTTAAAGCTAAGAGTCACGCGTCATAACTCTTTAAAGCTATGAGTCACGCGTCATAGCTGTTTAATACTGGTAGTCACGCGTCATGGCTGTATAAGGCTAGAAGTCACGCGTCATAGTTGCTTGAGGCTAAGAGTCACGCGTCATATTTGCCTAAATTTAGAAGCCGTGCGTCAAGACTTCTTTTGCTGTACACCCAGCTTTAGGTTTACTTTAGTAACTAAAATAAGTAAAGTAATTATATTTACGATAAATTCTTAACTGCTTAGTTCATTAAAGGAAAAAACCTAAATAAAACTAAACAACCATGTCCATAAAGAAAGGGGATGTCACTCCAAACCATCA